TGATAAGATCAATATGGTGTGATGTTAAGATAATATGATTATAAGCTCTGTATGGTTACCTACAGTAAACCATCAAATCATCAGGTAAGAATTTAACAGAGTTCAAATGCAATGGGCATGGGTTTTTTGTATATGCCTCTATATATGCATAACATTCTGCTTGTTATATAAAATTGTGTGTGTGTAAAAGCCTATTCCCATTTAATGTATGTATAGAATGTGCAAAACACATATGTATTTAGAACAATTTGGATTCAATGTATATTTTGTTTTAATAGGCAGATCACCCTTTTCCCCATTAGTCCATTAAATCAATGGTTTACTGTACAGAGACAGTTCTGTTAAGTAACACAGATTCTGCTGTCAAGTAAATTGTGGAAATAGGAAAGGAATGAGTGGGCAATAGATGAAAGCTGAGGGTTAAATCCTCATGCCTTTGTTGATATAACAAGGAGTAAAATGTGGCCCAGAATGGATGTAAAAGTATAGTTTTTTTCCAATTTCATTGTAACCTTCCAGAAAATAATTTTACCTAAGCCCAGTCAGATCATGGGGGACCGGTTAGTCACAGAGTTTAGCCTGTGTATTTAACATGTGATCATTAAAATGTTCTTTCTATGCCACTCGGTAGGTGAAATTAGTTACCTATTACTGGAAGTGGAAAAAAGTCAAATGATCGCTAGCTGCAACATTTTTCTGTGGAATAAGGTCTGTCTATGACTAAGCCTTTTCTGTTAACCTTTTCTGTTCTTTCATATAGAGAATATAATACTTAAATGAAAACAGTACATTTTCTTTTGGGACAGTTTATTTAATATATTTTTTCTCTAAGTAAACACTATTAGGAAATGCCAGGGAAAAAAATCTAAAATTGTAGTCTGTGTTAATCTGCTAGTCTTTGATGGCCAAAAAAACAGGAGTTGGTTAGGATGTTTTTCTGACCCTATTTTTTTCTTATTTTTAAAAAAACAGATTTGTTAGTCTGAAAAACTATTACTACATTCTTTTTTTGGGTTGTAGTTGTTTATTTCAAATATATATTATTCAATCCTCATCAGTTTCTTATAAATCAAGGAAACACATATCAGTAAGAAAGTTCAAGACAGAGCACCACTACAATATCCAGATAGTCCTTTATTTATGGCCACCGTTGAGCCCAGAATTTATGATGATAAGTGAGAAATTTGTTGTGAGTTTTGCCTCAATTTAGGACTTTTCTTGCCACATTTATTAAGTGAATCACTGCAGTTGTTAAATTAGTAACATGGTTGTTAAGTGAATCTGACTTTCCCATTGACTTTGCTTGTCAGAATGTCACAAAAGATAATCACATGATCCCGGACACTGCAACCGTCATAAATATGAACCAATTGTCAAACATTCAAATGTAAATCATGTGACAATGGGTATGCTGCAATTGTCATAAGTTTCAGTACCATTATAACTTTGAATGGTCACTGAATGAACTGTTGTAAGTTGAGGACTATCTGTACTCTTTTGGGCTGCTCTCTTACTTTCCAATTTGGCTAAGTCTTAATGTCAAATCACTGAGATTAGAGTCAGCTATAACATACTTATCCCACTATTAGCCATCTGTTCCACACCTTTTCAAGTTCCAATGCCTCGGACCAATTATGAGTAGCTTCTGCTATTGTTGTTCTCTTATCTTCAGAAGATATTCATTTGAGTCAGATCTTATATCCAGGTTTAGATGTCCCCTTGCTCAAACATTATTGTCTTCTCCTCAATTAAGCCTGAACATAGTGAGGCCACTGGGCTTCAGAATATATCCACTTTCACTGAGCCACACTTACCTGAATGGAATTCATGCTATGTCTCCAAACCTGATGTTTATGATGCCTCCTTACTCTGCATGACATCTCCTTCAACCTCTCCTGCTAACATTAAAGACAAAACACCCGGTTTTTCTTCTGAAAACCTTAATTCGTATAGCAAATGACTTATAAGATCATTTGGTCTTGGTCTTGATGATCAGTAGTTTTCTGAAACAGTAGAATCAGTGCTCCAGTTAGTTGATGATGCTACCACATTATAGTTTTTATTCTAGTTTCTAGTGTTATTGAAGACAGCAGGAAAATCCTGGGTGAAGATAACTTCTGTGTCCTCTCTTTATAGTTCTTTAACCCACTATATTGAAGCATTTCATGAATGATTTAGTGCAGTTTTAGTGTTCCGACTTCTTCACTTCTGGTCTGGACCTTCTCCCTTGTTCTCTCAATGTTACAATCTGTCTCTTATAAATAGATAGTCACATATTTCCCATTTTGGCAGTGTGTTGAAACCATAGATTAAAAAGCACAAAAGTAGTTGTAAATAAAATGTACAAATTTACATGATCACAAGGATATTTAAGTAGAAGTTAGCCCAAGCACTTTTGTTAGATGTTTTTATTTAGCTTCAAAAGCAAGCTTTGAAAAATGTTTCAGGTCACCATCAATAACTTGAGTCAATGAATAAATTGATGCTCACATTTTCCAATTAATTTTAGGCTGAATAAAAATGAGTAAATGATTTTGCATTATTAACATATTAACTTTATATTTTCCTGAGTTTTTACCTGATTGTCTCATCAGCTCAGAGTAGTATATTCTAGTGGTCTAACTGAGTATATTTCAATTTTGATTTTGATTTAGGAAGACAGTGAATAGGTAAAATTCTAAGTTGTTGGGGTACAGATTTGGAATAATTACTGTTTATAGCTACAGAAGAATTTATTTCAAGAGGAATGGTTGTGCTAACAATTTTCAGAGTGTGTTGTTTCCAAAGGTTTCTTCTGTATTATACACTTTCAGTCTCCATTACTGTCCAAATGCAAGTAAATCTGCACCATCTTGAAAATGTTATTTTACTAAAATGCGGAGCTTTAGCAGTACTTATACAATAAGTCTGAAGAGATTGTCTGAGAGTTGTTGACATGCTATTAAAAACATTTCCACTCATGAAATAATGGCTGTCTGATATTTCTTGCTTGTTTTGTATCTAAAACAACGAAATACAGTATTTTTTTATGGCTATAGACTGTACTTTTTATTTAAAAAATATTTTGAGGCTACTCATAATTTGCCCAAGGGCTGAGTTGATATTGCTAAAAGAACAGAGCTATTTTTTCAGCCTTATTTTTTCATATTAGGGGATGTTGTTACTTAAACTAGATGTATTATGTCTGCATGCTGTTCAATTTTAGTAATACAGTCTCAGGAACTTTGGTTGAGGGCATATTTAGCCCATGAAAGTTTAGTTTTTCAAAATGAAAAGGAAAAATTAATTAAAACAGCCTTGCTACTTTACAACAACAACAATAATAATACATTGTTTTTACTTTTAATCTATTCATTTTATTCATCATAAATATAGCTAAAGAATTAGTAAATCAGTTATGTTAATATGATGGTTAAATAATGGTAAAGTAATAACTATCAGAAATAGAAAAAATGGTAATCAGTTTATACTTACCATCTATCCATACACATATATACAATAAATACTTACACCTAATTTCTAATTGTATGGGCACATTTTAAATATTTGGTTTTTATAAAAGCCACAAGCAATATGTAATATTTCAGTTTGACAGTATCTATGAACTAGAATTGATGTCTTTTATTTTTATAATCCACATTCAAATATAACAACACTGATACTTCTAAGTAATATTTTTCCTGAGAGAAATAAACTACCTCTCTTAATTTAAATGCACATATTGGAAAAAAAACATTGTATACATTTTACATTCTTTCATGTTTACTTAATTAATTATTGTTACTTACATTGGTTTTTAAAATGCAGATGAGACTGTAGGCAGAAGGCTACAAATATATTAACAGATTTAATTATATTAGTAACTATAGCATACTAATACTAGCAAACTCTGGAATGTCAACAATTATAATTGAGTAGTATAATTAAGTTCATAATAAATTTTAGCAACATATAATAATGATATAAATGATATAAACAAAAAATATATTACTAATATTTAGAGCACATTGGATTTCAAGAGTTTGTAGTAAAATTGGAATTGATTTTGTTTTTTGTTTTTTTAGCTGTCTTATGAATGAAAAACATCTTTAGTATTTCTCTAAACTGCTCAGAATTTGGGCAGCTGGACAGTTTATAAATATATGTAATAAGTAAATTTCTATAATCGGGTATGAAGCTCCTCAGAATTTTGAGTTAAAAAAAGGAAAAGTGTTTCACAGAATGATTTATGAATTTTTTAACTGTTAATACATATTTAACCCCTCTATTTAATTTCTCCAGGATCAGAAATTATGATATCTATTGTATGAGTATTTCTTACATATTAAATAAAATATTTTATGATTTAAACATATACTAAAGTGTATCTTTTAGATATAAACATAATAGAATCTATTTTAGACAAATATTTTTTCTTAGTATATAGCAGACTTCATATTTATAGGTACTTATTAATGTAGTTCCAATCTTTGTGGAAATTTTCCAGAAAACTGGGACTGAGGAAAGGGACAAAAATTGAAATATTATGAAAAAACTGCATTGCTAGCTTTCTAAACAGAATTTTATAACTCACAAAAGGAAGATTGAGTGCTACAAAAGACTGTAGTATTTTGAATGTACCCCTAGCTCATTTCCTGCTAAGTCAGGTAGAAGTAGGGTTTTTTTTAGGCAGCGGTCCACATTTGCCTTTGAGGCATATGTCAAGTCAAAAGAAATGGTCAGTTAAGATAAAATTCAAGCTTAAATTTAGTTAGATTAGTTCAGTTAAATGAAAGACCATCAATATAAATATCCTCAATGTATTCAGTAAATTTCCTCTTATGGTTTATTAAAAAATGTTTGGAGAAAGCCTGAACACTGTATCCATTATTTTGAAGTAGGTCACAGGCTAAAAGGCTCTTCTCTGAATCATGGCTAGCATGATTCTAATCTAGCAGAATCTAAAAGCATTATCTTACAATAAAGCTACAACTGTTATATGGGAATATTTGTTTTCACAGGTGGATGGAAGTCTGCCTAGATGAAGAGTTACCACCTACCACTGAACTGGAAGAAGGTTTAAGGAATGGTGTTTACCTTGCCAAATTAGCTAAGTTTTTTGCACCAAAGCTGGTCTCTGATAGGAAGATCTATGATGTGGAACAAACACGTTACAAGGTAAAATTTACATATAGGTAGTCCTCGATTTATTACCACAGTTAGGACCAAAATTTCCATTGTTAAGCAAGGCCATTGTTAAATGGGTCATGCCTCATTTTATGACCTTTTTTGCCAGAGTTGTTAAGTGAGTCATTACAAGTGAGTATTTGAGTATTGAACATTGAGAGATTAGGGGAATAGAAAATTTAACTTTTTAATTTGCTAACCATTCTAAAATATTGGTTTTATTTTGGTTAAGGAAAACCTTCAAGGAATCTTTGAACAGTTTCCTTGACTTTCATAAAATGCAATAAAAAACAAAAAAATACCCATGACACCTAAAGTGTGTGTGTGTGTTTATGGAGAATACAGACAGTCCTCTTTTAATGATTGCCTTGTTTAGTGACCATTCAATTACAATCGTGATTAAAAACGTAACTATATGACTAGTCCTTGCTTTTACACCCTTTGCTGGTCCTGTAAGGCAAATGAAAGCTGAAGTAAGATTATAAGTGTAGTCATTGGTTTCATTTAGAGACCTCTTTGTTTAATAACCAAGTAGACAGTCCCAATTGTGATTGCTAAACAAGAACTACCTGCAAAGTATAGCTCAGAGTTTTATATTTTAAGGTATTTTTAAGCTTTTTTTAAAAAAAATCTTGTTTAAATGCAATTTAAATTTCATGTATAAGACATAGTTAGGCATTTACATTTGTTGTGTGCTCATTAAAAATAAATAAACCTTTTTTTGTTTCTGTCTTTTTTTTCCCTTTCTTGCATTAGCGTTCAGGTCTACATTTCCGACACACCGATAATACAGTACAGTGGTTACGGGCAATGGAATCCATTGGCCTACCAAAGGTAAGCATTTGAAAAATAAATACTGTATAGCCATTGGTAAAGTACTTGTTAAAATAGGGAAGTATATTTAAAATAGGATACAAATTTGCTTTGAATTAAATACAACCATTGATTCATTTCTACTCTAGACTAATAGTAATAGCTGGAAGTCTTGTGAAGCTGTATGTAAATGTGCCAACTCATTTTGCACATGAAACATTCCCATTCCAGTTAACTATAGTTTTCCCCTAAGGAATAACTGAATAACCAACATGAAGGAAGGACTCAGTGAAAAAGTTAAAATGGTTGTACTAACAAATCCTCTTTTCTGATGAGAGCAACTTTTGCATCTCATTTGGAAACCAAGGACCCAGAGTATGGAGGAAGAATGGAGAGGCCAATCAAGCACAGTAATCCTGGTCTTAATGGTCCAAGCACCAAAAACTAGTCATTGAACCAGTTTTTGGTGCTTTTGGCAAAAGTTGCTCTCATCAGAAAACAGTACTTTGGACCAAGGAGCAACAGTACTTTGGACCACTGTGCTTCATTAAGACCAGGGTCAATGCAGCCGTTTACCAGGAGATTTTGGAGCACTTCATGCTTCCTTCCGCAGACAAGCTTTATGGGGATGCTGACTTCATTTTCCAGCTGCCCACACTGCCAAAAGCACCAAAACCTGGTTCAATGACTGTTGGATTACTGTGCTTGATTGGCCAGCAAACTCGTCTGACCTGAACCCCATAGAGAATCTATGGGGCATTGCCAAGAGAAAGATGAGAGACATGAGACCGAACAATGCAGAAGAGCTGAAGGCCGCTATTGAAGCATCCTAGTCTTCCATAATACCTCAGCAGTGCCACAGGCTGATAGCTTCCATGCCACGCCACATTGAGGCAGTAATTGCTGCAAAAGGGGCCCAAACCAAGTACTGAGTACATATGCATGCTTATACTTTTCAGAGGTCTGATATTGTTCTATGTACAATCATTGTTTTATTGATTGCATGTAATATTCTAATTTTCTGAGATGGTGGATTTGGGGTTTTCATGAGCTGTATGCCATAATCATCACAATTATGACAAATCACAGCTTGAACTATCTTGCTTTGCATGTAATGAGTCTTATCTCATATATTAGTTTCACCTTTTAAGTTGCATTACTGAAATAAATGAACTTTTGCACGATATTCTATTTTTTCAAGTTTCACCTGTAGAATTATAGTTGGACTTAGAACAAACTCTTAGCCATGTCTGACTCTCATGATTAATTCCCTCATTAACTGTTGGTACAATTGCTTGCAATCCATTTTTATATGACGTACAAAAGCTAACCATTTAAATTTGGCTAGGACATGTTGTTTAATATAGATGCCAATTTTACATTCTGAAATATTAGAACAAAGACAAAATGATATTTTGAGCCATGCTATTACTATAATATTGTATGCATGAATTCTTCCGAGGCAAGTTCTAAGAAACAATTTTTATTTCAGAACTATTCAAACACAGTGAAATGTCATTAAAATGAATAAAATATATTATATTCAGTCATATTTTTTTGAATATATGACAGAGGTTAATTTATATATAATACTAAGCCAATGGCCCATTGTACATATTTTGCTAAAGAGAAGAAAATAATGTTCTCTGTGTACTTTAGTGTGAAAACTAAAGCCAATATCCGTCTATGTTGACTTATTAACATTTCATATCTTTTAGGGTTCTTTTTTTGAAAGAGTTGAGAATGGCATTTTGATTTGAAAAAGTAGGCGGAAATTATTCATCTAGGCCCAGAACCTCTTACTGTCACATTTATCTGTGATCTCTGGAATTTTGTGATATTTCTTTGAGTGCAATGGTTAATGAAATGATGTTATTCATAGAACAGATACTTTACATTATTAAATACAAATATATCTAATACAATATAGTATAATAGGAGATTATATGAATAATCACACACAACATAAAGTACACATATAATAAGCTGGATCTTAGAAAATTCATGCTAGTGCTTTATCTGGAGATTAATTTTATTTCTGAGTTAGTATTGTATTTGAAAAAGTGTCAACTTATACATTTGACAACAATTCTCCACTGAGCAAGAATTTGTTTCCTATGTCAAAATGTACCATTGATCCTCAGCTTCTACATTAATAGATAAAATCTGAGTAATATTAAATATTTGTTAAGTGAAGCGATGCTTGATCATTTGCCTTTTTCATCTTTAGATTTTCTACCCAGAGACCACAGATGTTTATGATAGGAAAAACATACCTCGAATGATCTATTGCATTCATGCATTAAGGTAAAACAGATCTTTGCTAAATTTCTAAGGTTTTTTTCTTCATTTCCTCCTTTTGAAAAGTTTGCAGCAAAACCTAGTTACTTCATAGTTATGAATCAAATTAATCAGTTTGACTCAGTTAAACTGTTAAGGATAAAGTTCTGTTAATATTCAGTGCTGTAGTATTACCTCGTAATATTAATTTCAAAAAATAAAAATGGGATTAGTTTGAGAATGAAAAGAATCCAACTCCCCCCCCCCTTCTACTGTATATAGTTAAACTGTGTTTTAATTATAGAAACCTGTAAAACTGGCTGTTGTGATCTTTGATTACTTATTCACTAAAGTCCTATTTCAAGGTTATGCTATTATGTACGGCTTAGAAGCATGCTCAGGGAAATTTCTTAACAATTTGGATGTCATAAATGGAATCCTGTTGTTTCTATAGAATTTACTATAATTCAGAAATATTGTTTAAGTACTATGCGCAAAAAATATATATTCTCCATTCATACTCGAATTAATATGGGACAAGTATTCATTTAAACATTACTGTTCAGGAAACTGGTACTCACCGACAGCACTTGAGACCAGCAACTCAATCAGTAAGCAACATGATTGTAAAGTAAAACATTACATGACTGTGCCTGACTTACAATGTCAGTTTGTCAATTCCAGTTATGATCATTAAGCAAATCACCGTTGTTTGTTAAGCATGCCATCACATGAACATTACTTGTGACTTTCTGCCGACTTCCCCACTAACTTGGTTTGTCATACGTTACCTGTGAAGATTGTAAATGGTGATCACATGAGGACACTGCAGTTGACATAAATGTGTACCGGTTGCCAAGCATCCAAATCGCAATTGTGTGATTGTAGAAACATTGCACAGGCCATAACTTTGAGTAAGAGTTATAAAAACCTCCTTTTTTAGTGCCATCAAAACTTTGGTCTGTAAGTGTTCAGTAAACTGCAGTTGAGAGTGGCAGATTGCATGTTAATGATTTTTATATATGTAACCCATATGAAAATGAAGTGCATTTCTCCTCTGTCAGCATGTAGCGTTTTGGTTTCGATATCTGCATCCTATGCAAACTTCCATCTGGGCATGGAAGAGCAATAAATCTTAAATGAGGTCTTTTCTGGACAGATATTCTTTAGTATAGTCAATATCTTTCTGGCATTTTAAAGAAGATTCTTGGGTCAAGTCATCATTTTTACCTCTTTAAATAGGATAGAGAAAATTTTGGACGGATGACTGGGTACCACCTTTATGAATAATTCTAGGAGAAGGAAAATTAGTGAGCATAAACTGATGTGAGACAAACTGTATGGTCGTGTCATGTATCTTATTGGGCCAATTTTCATTGGTTTTTAGTGGCTGAAACATGAGACTCATTCAATTTTGGATGTTTTGGATCTTTAAATATGTATGTTTGTTTTCTTGCTAAATCATGTCATTAATATAACTCTGCAAACCTGGTTGCTGAGCTTGTTTAAATATGTTTGTAAATTTGTTTTTTACAAAGTGAACACATGGGACTCTAAATATTAAGCATTTTTAGCATTAAACAATTAGTTCATAACAAAATGATGCTAAATTCCACCCTAGTGATATCATAATCCATGGTCACAAATTCTATAGAACGTTGAATACTCGGAGGCTTTCAAATATTGATATCTCTTAGAATACTAAAGATGCCTTAAGTGATTTCCAGACTTATAAAAACATAGATATGGAGATCTTCACGTTGGCTTTCCCAGGTAAACCAGACTGTCTCCTTTACAGGCCTGAGAACCTAGGGAAGGTCCCTTCTGATCTTTTTTTGCCCATGAGACAGCTGATGCTGTATCCTCTGTTACCTGACCATTCCTTCAGCAGCATTACTTTGCCTGTTTCTCAAGGTCTTTCCCACATTCTATTACATCACATTTAACTATACATAATTTCAAGGAAAACTATTTTTCTATATGTTTTAACTCTACTCTTTCCTCCAAGACAATGTCCTATTAAGTGGATATTATTTAGAATACATCAGTCTGAACCATCAGATGAATGATGGAATAATTTAATGTCTTGCTGCATTCTAAACTCTTCTAAATGATTCCAATTATCATTTGTTATTTTGATTTGGAAGATGGCCACCCACAATAGAAATTCCACAGAAAAGTGCTTTTGTCTCCCAAACCATCCGCTGCAGAATTGTTTAGCTGTAAAAAGTACACAGCAACAAAACTGTGGTGTTTCTACTGCTAACACAAAGCAAATACTGTATATTGAGCTGAAGAATCAACATTTTAGGATTTGCTTGATTACTTCATTGTTTTGTATTCCAGGTTCTGGACCTTCCCCTACACTAGTTAAATAGGGGAAATGTGGAATCATTAATTGAAAAGCTTATTCCTGAGTAAGGGGATTTCCTATTCTACATCCAGAAGAATGTCAAAGAATAAACATGTACTCAATCCAGAAGAATGTCAAAGAATAAACACGTACTCATATAAAACTCCTTCTCCTGAGAGAAATAGATACACCCACACACTTCAGAACTTAGGTAGCCAAAAATGTGAGGGTAGAAAACTCAGGAGTCCTCAGGGAGGACTGGTATATGCATTGGTGAGAGATAGCCTCACCTCCTTCCTACTGTACTGTCATTAAAGTGATAGGTGTGTGTGTGTGTGTGTGTGTGTGAGAGAGAGAGAGAGAGAGAGAGAAAGAGAGAGAATAGAAGCACTGCATCTTCCATATCTGTTTTCCTTGCCTACTAGAGCATATGTAAAGCATATGTGAATGCATAATAATCCTACTCTTTGGGGAATGACTTAATATTAAGATTTGAACATTAGATGCAAAAAGTTACATCATCACAATGTCTAACAATAACAATATTACAAAACCCAAGCATAAGTAATGTTACTTGTTTTTGAATAATCTGCATATATTTTATCGATAAAAACAAAACATTCAAAACCTGAATAATTTTAAATTTATATTTGTGCCACATTGTTGACTTGCTGTTTTGTTTAATATGAATTCTTTCTAAGGCTTCAAATACTTGTTTTAAAAGACAGTTTGTACTAGTAGTGTGTGACTTGTTAACACCATTACAAATGCCAAAAATAGCAATTATCAATAAAAATGAGAAAGGAATATATTACATAAGTATGATTTTATTTTATTAATATAATAAATATTATTTCTAAAAGTGTGCTAAGGTAAATGTTTATTATTAATAAAAAATAAAATTCCATTGCCCTCTAGTGGTTCACAATATTTCCTCAATTTTCCTTTTCTTTCTAGCTATTAAATATTATGCTATCCCGATAATTATATCAGTTGTTAAAATGTCAAAATTGAATATATTAATGGCTAATTAAGGGACTCAATTGTGCCAATTAAAATAATTTCTGAACACTAGAAAGATATGGAATTATTCACTGGTGTTTTATTAATAGTCATTGGTTCTAAATGTAATACAAAGCTGCTTTTAAAAATTGAGATCATAAACAGAAAATAGTTTGGATAATTACAACGTGACAAGTTTAGGTTCATTTTTAACTTATCTATTAAATATTAAATATTTATTCTTTGAACTCCTTCCTAGAAAATTCAAAATTATTGGGAATCTAATTTTCCAAATACTTCCTGCTTCCAGAAACAGCTGTTTTCTCTTCATGTTTGTTCCCTGTGTTCTAACAGCTTGGCAAATTTACAATTTCATTTACTTACAGTTAGTATATAACTTCATGTTTGTCATCTCTCTGTTTTCATTCAGGTTCAACTTTTAAATATATATATATTCCTTTTATATCTAAAATACATGTTGGCCACTTTTGACATGCTTTGACCCGCTCTTTTATAGCAATTTTGATAGTCCCTTGTGTAATCTTAATAAATTTCCCAAATCCTCAACAGTTGTTAACTTCACATGGCAGGAAGACATGAAAAAAATGTGAATTTGTTCAGCTGTTGTCCAGATGGTTTCACTATAAATATTTTGGAATAGTAATTATGTAGATTTTCAAGTGCCCTGAAATGAAATAGGATTTCTTGGAGTGATTTCAGTAGTTTTAAGTTTGTTGCAGATTCTCCAGAGTATTGAAGAACTGAAAAATAGATAGTCAAAGGTTTCTGTATGTGAGAGAAATATTACTTTCACTACTTTCACTGTTGAGGCAATATTTTATATTTATATATATATTATTTTGAACTGTCTTAAAGGAGGTACAGAAGTCTTGCAAATCCAATTTAAAGTGTTTTGAAAGGAATATAGTTATAATTATTTTAAGAAATGTACCATTTCTAACAAAACTTGCAGCATTGTATAAAGATCAACACATGCATTGTAGAATAAACACCAATAGGCAATACCCAACTTTAATTAATCACTCCTATTGTATTTATGCAATTCATTTACTTTTTCTTTTTCTCCCTCAGTTTATATTTGTTTAAACTAGGAATAGCTCCACAAATCCAGGATTTGCTTGGAAAAGTAGACTTTACAGGTACTTTTAATCTTTGTAATTTTTTTATATTGAGAAAACTTTATTTTTTGAAGCTTCAACTAATTATTTAATTGGTTAACAGTTCCATTCACTTCCATCCATTCTTTGTGTTTTTGTGCTGAAGTGGGTGTAAAGTAGCTATGTTAAAAATGTGCTGTATTTTACAAAGAGCTGCCGGGTAACAAACAAGACAGTTATGCGTGCTACAGTATTTCTCATATAGAAAAAGGAGATAAGAATTAGAGGAATAACAATTGTCCTATTTCTGTTATGTTCCACTTGATTTTGTCACTTAGTAACCTGGACAGTTTTTTTTTCTTGTATTGTAATCTTTTTCCTTCCTTCCTTCCTTCCTAACTTTCTTTCTTTTTCCTTCCCCTTGTCATCAATAATTAGAGGAAGAAATAAGTAACATGCGGAAAGAACTGGAAAAATATGGTATACAGATGCCATCATTTAGTAAAATTGGAGGCATCCTGGCCAATGAGCTTTCAGTGGATGAAGCTGCATGTAAGTTCCCCAGAATTTTGGGAAATGCTAGTCTAATATGTTTCCTAATGTTCCTGAAAGTTGCTTTAACTTCAAATATAAAGTGACAATCAAATTTACCGACTACCTATAGTAACTAGAACAAGGGCATGAAGTAGTTGTTTTTGCAACTATGTGTTCTAGTGTGTTTTGAAGATTTTAAAGATTTACATATTTTAAAATACAGGTAGTTCTCAATTTACGACCACAATTAAGCCCCAAATTTATGGTGTTAAATGAGAGATTGAATTTTGCCGTATTTTACGGCTTTTCTTGCCACATTTATTAAGTAAATCACTGCCGTTGTTATAGTAACACGGATGTTAAGTGAATCTGGTTTCCTCATTGACTTTGCTTGTCCAAAGGTCGCAAAAGGGGATCACATGACTCTGGTTACTGCAACCGACATAAATTGTGAGATAGTTGTCAAGCATACAAATGTAAAACACTTGACCATAAGAATACTACAACAGTCCTAAGTGTGAAAAATAGTCATACATAACTTTTTTCAGTGCCGTTGTAACTTTGAACGATCACTAAATGAACTGCTGTGAGTCAAGGACTAACTGTATTTGTTTGCTACCCACATTGTGACTTAGAAGCAGCATATCAAAACTTAGAAAGGTATATAAAACCATAATATAGCATTTAAAAGAGTTAAGCTTAAAAATGTAACTACCAAGGAAAAAAATAATAACCTCTTCATCTAATCGTTTTCTAATGATCTCTTGGGATAGTCGTTGGTTTAGCTATGTATATTTGTAGCCTAAAAACAGGAAAGGAACAAGTGTTTCATTCAAATATACACACCTTGGGTAGTCTGATGAAGCATTTTTATTTAGATCAGGGGCCCCAACCCCCAGGCCGACGGCCACTAGTGGGCCATGAGCCGTTCAGAACCGGGCTGCAGAAGCAGCAGGAGAATGTGCATGCATGCACATCCCCACTTGCATGAGCATGGCAATCACATGTGTGAATGCTTCATTTACGCAAGAATCTGGCACACATGTCTGCCACTCCCACAAATAGAACTGTACATGCGCTTGCCAACAGCTCACATAGTCTCCCTCCCCCCTGCTGGTCCGCAGAGCTGGAAAGGTTGGGAACTCTGATTTAGACTGTTTGGTTCTGATTTTAATTTTTGTAAGCATGTTTTTGCATACTCTCTATTTGCTTGCTTTCTGTTTTGTATGAAACCATACTGGTTAAATAGAAATTGGGCAGAAACAAAATTGCAAAAGTATGATAGCTAATAACAAAGATTTTGGAAATTTTAATTCACTTTTATATTTAAATATTGAATTATTCCTGTTTATTATTCTTTTTTAGTGCATGCTTCAGTTATTGCAATTAATGAAGCTATTGAGAGAGGAATTGCAGATCAGACCCTCAAAACATTGCAAAATCCTAATGCCATGTTAGTAAATGTGGATAATAATTTTGCCCATGAATATCAGAAGGAACTTTCTGGAGCAAAAAAGAAAAAAGAAGAGAATGCAAGACTTAAGGTAAAGAAACAAATTACTTATTATTCACTGTGTGATGTGAAAGTGAGTTGTCTCAGAACACCAGTTTTAATTTATTTATGGCTGTCTTAAATATGCAAGCTTGTAAAACGAAAAATGTCAAATTTATCAATGCTAGTAAATATTTTTTTGCATATAAAACAAGTTTGTTTTATTTTTATGCCACGCAACCACCCAAAAGATCAATCATTATATATTAATATATCAATGCCTTTACAAAAATACAAAAAACCAATCAGAATGAAAAATATAAATTAATTTAAATTTAAATCAGCATTTCCCAAAATTAGGAAGCAGACCTACATTCCTGGGGTGAGGTGAGATGGGTAAGAAATAATGGCCTGGCCTCAAAAAGTGATTGGAAGGAGAAAAGTGTCAGCTAATTTAGTTGGTTCCTTTTTTCCTCTCTAGGAACACATAACTTGAATGCAAGCAAGGGGGAGGGGTAACAAAAATGTCTTAGATAGATGTTTTATGTCTTTCTTATTTACATGACTATGAAAGAGGTAGGAAGGGAATCAAAATCTTGTAAGCTTTTATTACTATAGCCAATCTAAATAAAAATGCAATACAGAAGGTCTGTTTCTTATTCTGGTTACCAGGTTGACCTGGTAGGACTGACACCTATTAAGATGAAATCAAATATCAACATTTATTTTTCCAGACTTGGATTCTTCAGAGAATATTAAAAAAAGGGAGTCCCACTTACCATATGTACTGTGCCAAAAGTGTAATGTGGATTAAGAAATACAATATAGGCAGTTCAATTTATATTTCAGTTTGGTTCATTATAGAAAATTTGAAACATTAGAACGCTATTACAAAGATAATATTAGTTTAAAGACCTGAATATATATCTTTAGATTATATAATATTTTTGGAATTTATCACCTATCACTCTGTAAAGAATTACATTATTCTACATGGGGAAGGGATAGCAAAGAAAATAATTATTCATGCATGAAAGATAGTTTTGTTAGATTTATGTTTTTGAATTATAGACACATGTTCACCTTCTGTTTATAAAGTAAATATTGATATAGTGAAAAGACTCAGGAATATTATGACTTATGTTTGAGAAGTATTACATGCTTTTGTATGTGGGCTTTCCTCCCATAATTCTGCACAACCTCCTTTTTAAAATCAGGAACAGCTCTACCCTTCTTTCTATTAATGATAATTGTTGCTTCTAGAGTGACTCGATTTTGGAAGAGGAAAGAGATGTATATGAAGAATTGCTTACACAAGCTGAAATCCAGGGAAACATCAATAAGGTCAACCGTAAGTATTCTTCTTTCTTATGAAAACATTGATTCCTGGCATATTCACTCTTAATATTAGGGGAAAGTATCAGTGTGTGTTATTTTCTCACAGTTCATTGAAATTTAAAACTGGCATATATTATTATTTCATCAGTAATGTGTCATTCTTTCAGAGATACTTTGCTGTTATACTACTACTAATCCTGGATAAGGATATTCTTCTTTGCCCTTTTGCATTCTCAATAACAATACAAACATTATGATTCTAGTCTGCTTTACCACAACTCTCTCCTCTTCTGCCAGCTGCAAAGTTCTGTAAATTTTGACCCCTCTTACATGTTGCATTTTAGTGTTGAATTTAAGAAGTCTATTCCGAAGTGTCCTTGCATGCTTGTTCAGAAGGATTTGATGCAAGTTATCTTAAACAACTGCATGTATCAAAGGGCTAAAAGAGAAATAAAAAATCTTTATAGTATTTTGCTTTCTGTAAGCATTGTTTTCCTTTCAGTTCACATAGCTTTAGCCCAAGTGAATGAGGCTATTGACATGCAAGATGAAGTGGCACTAATGGCAGGCTTGAACAACCCAGCTCTGAGCCTGCTTGAAGTTCTGCTGCAAAATTCCTCCTGGTACCTAGCACGGTTATTTGATACTAAAGAGCAGAGAACACAGGTAACTGATTATAACGTGCTAGAGTGACACCGAAATCGCTTAACTTTAAAGTGTGATTTCAGTCTTGATACTTTGGCCTTCTTACAAATAGGAGAGGCTTTCAAAATACTTATATATAATATTGCATAATTTATTCTTAATTTAACTTGGAAACATAGTATTTTCTAAGTTTGGCTATAAACAGGGGGGAAATCTAATTTGAAAAATGTTGAAATTTTCTGACTATTTGTTTTATGAAAGGACACCATGTTTTTTTATAACAGCCTATTATTGATGTCCCTAAAACTGATATCCACCTAGTAGTTTTGAATATTATGGTATTAATTATTTATTTGCCTTTTAATTAAAATACAGTAAGAAATGTTTTCCCCCTAATCTGTTAGATAGCAGGGGTTCCAATTATCCTCGACAAAAATGAGATTCAGAATGAAGTTAGTGTTGCCAATGAGGAATCAGACTCTCACAAATTTAGTGAGTAACTTGTTAATTTTCACTTATAACTTCACCTCATGGTAAATTTTAAGATTCAGCAGTTCTAACGATAAAATATGAGTCCAGTTATATTTTATCTAAACTAGTTCCATGATGCTTTTTGTCATTTTTGCTTTGTTGTCACATTGCTTTCATTATTTGGTTCAATAGCTTATATCCCCTCATCCCACCCTGCCCTCCGCCCCAATTATTGTGTTCTTAATCCAGTTCAATTACTGGGTTAATTACACTTTTCCGCATAAAAGATAGAATTTACTTACTCCGTCCCAGTTACTTTGTATAATTAAGTTGGTGTTGCAAAAAATAGAATTTTGAAAGTATGGCATGCTTCTATAATATATTACTTAAAGTGAGTATGTGTAATTTATTGTTGAAGTTAGTTCTTTTTCTTCGAACACTATGTATAAGAGGGTTCTAAATTTGCAGTTGCCTTTCTGTCAGTTGCTCTTTGCTTCTTGAGATATTAGAGCTTTTCTTCTAGATGTTGATTTGAGCTCACTTTTCATTTCATGCTTTCTTTAGTTTAACTTAAGAGCAATTTATTCTCCATAATATTTGAATTGAATTCATGAATATAATCATTTTTGGTTGTTATATATACATCAGTTGACTTTTCGATCTGAATTTCTTTATAGGTAGAGATTTTATTAGCATATCTATATTTTGTTTCATTATTTGAAACACTAAATGAAAGTATGAGTGATATAAACAAAACCATTAGTTTTATTAAGTATTGTTCTTCAGTCTAAGCAGTAATTATTTTACATGTAGTGGGTTATCCAGTAAGGCCTTGTATATTTTGAGTAGTCAAAGCATATGTGCAAGTGCTCCTGCTTGATATAATTACCCATTCAGTATCTATCTCATGTCTGTGAACTTGTCAGAAAATTAATTGTATTTGCTGATTTTAATATAATATGTAAAGCATAGAGTTTTAAAGACTGCTGTTTTATTTTGAAGAGAAAACAAATTTCTGCCCTTTGTGGTAATACAGCTCTTGAATACAAATTAATATTGAGTAGGCCACTTATTTCCTTAATCTTTGATTAAATTAATTTAATAAGAAATATTAGATTATACTTCTTACCTTTAAAAAACCAAAGGTCAAGGAAATACAATTATTTTAATTAAATTATTTGATAAAAACCTGTCAAATTAAATTTCAAAATATAAAGTATAAGCTTGCATGGTTATGAGCACCTTTTATTTGGAATATTTTTTTTTTTTGCTTTTGGTAGTTTTCAGCAGATTTCTGTGGCATAATTAGCTTTAAAAAACAATGTAACAAATTTTCTTCTTTTATATCATTAGAAATACCAGATATACAATCTGTATAGTAGTATGCAGTAGAGCAGGGTTAACTGGGTTTTTGGATATTTCTCTTTTTTGACACTAGAACTTATTGCAGTTGACAATATTAACCTTGCAATTCGTAACTGTGACTCAAACATGACAATTGCTGCTTTAATGAAACCTGAAGCCCAGTTACCTGAAGTTTATCCTTCTGCTGCCTCTGTCTATCAGACTGAACTCTTCAATCTCCAGAAACAGAATGCTATGGTAAGATGGAAGTTATTTGAATGTGTCCCCAAAGCCAACTAATTGGAAAATAGATATACTAAAATATCCATAATTTCTTCTATGACTTTTAAACATGCACTTTCTGTAAAATTAATTCTTGGTTGTCAGTTTGCACAAATATAGATTCAATATTGTAGAAGAGATAAAAATACTAGATTTTAAAACTGTTTTTATTTGTTTCTAAAGTCATATGTAGTCCTAACTTAATAATTCTGTTCTGGAGCTAGGCTTTATCTCCCAAATTTTGATCAAAACTAGCTGGCTAATTTTGCTCCTAGTTTTAACATACCAAAATTTTCTTCAGTTGAGGTTGGATTTAGCATCCCTGATAGTTTAGTCCTTGGTCATCCTGACCTACCTCAAGAAGTCCTTTCTTTGCTATTAATAGTTGATTACCAATGTTTACAGCTAAAAGAAGGTCTCTTGTTGCAGAGGCTTTGTTAGGCCTCTTTCTACTTCAGATTTTGCTCCTTGAGTTTATTTATCAATGGGTCAGCAGTTGTTTTGTATTTGAACAATTTAGCTATTGTGGCTGGGAGGCAATATATGCTTTCAAAGCGGTTCTTGCAACAGGATCAATTTTCCTAATTTTCTTGTCAAAATTACAACAAAGAAGGAAAAAAGGAAAAAGGATTAAAAATGATGATATGGAGTGTTGAAGAAAAGACACCATAGAGAAGCAAAGAAAGAGAGCAAAATGCCTATAAAAGCATTTGCTTGTACATTCCTGTATAGTTACTAAAATAAAAAATGAAATTACATACATACATACATACATACATACATATACACATATATACACACACACACATATAATTCAGAAAAATATGCAAGCTAATTATTGTATTTTCAGATAGTTAAGGTTGGGCTTTTTTAATTTTTTAAAAAAGAATATTAATTTTAAGTAAGCAAAACCTGTTATCTACTGTGTACTGTGAATGAAAATAATTCTCAAATGTTTCTTGAGGCAATGCTTTAGGTCAGTTAAAATGTTTGCGAGATGATATGTAAGTGTTTGCATTTCTAAGATGAAATTTGAAAGTTTACACATTATTTGGACCTGGGTACTTGATCATGGTATTGGACCTGGGTACTTGAGAGACCGCCTGCTGCCAATTACCTCCACTAGACCGATTAGACCCAGATCCAGATCCACAGATTAGGCCTCCTCCGAATTCCATCCGCCGGCCAGTGTCGATTGGCAACTACCCGGAGGAGAGCCTTCTCTGTGGCTGCTCCGACCCTCTGGAACGAACTCCCCGTGGAGATTCGAACCCTCACCACCCTCCAGGCCTTCCGCAAAGCCCTTAAAACCTGGCTGTTCCGACAGGCCTGGGGCTAAAGAATTGTTGCCCCCGTCTCGAATGGTATGACTGTCGTGTGTTTTAAATTATGTATTGTTTTGTGTCGTTTTAATTTTTTGTTTGTATCCCCCTTCCCTGGTTTGAGTTGTGAGCCACCCTGAGTCCCCTTCGGGGGAAAAGGGCGGCATATAAATAAAATAAACATTCAAACATTTGGTAAAAATGCAGTTGGCTTAATAGATGTATTACTTCAATATTGGCATTGGCTTTTTCAGGGCTAAGCCATAACTCATTTTTTACATATTGAAAGCTTTATTTTTACTGATCTGAATATATTTCTACAGAAATACTTATCTCATGATGAACTATCTATCGCTGTTGAAATGCTCTCAGCTGTCGTGCTGTTAAATCAAGCTTTGGAAAGTAAGAACATAGAGGCAATAAAAGTACACCTCAGCAACCCATCCATTGGTTTTAACAATGTGGAGGAAGAGAACTTGCAACGGTAAAAACAACTACAGATGTATTTCTGTCACTTATTTATCATTCATATTTTAAGAAAAATTATATAATTATACAAGTTCTATAATTTAATGGTGCTTTACTGTGTGGAATTGTTCATTAAACTATGATAATCTTTTAGCTAATCTAACTAGGTTACAGTACAAACAATTTTTTTTATTGTTTCTTCACAGTTATGCTGATACCTTGCTGTCTATTAAGTTAGAGGCTTTGTCTCAAGGACAAGAACATTTAAGCTGGAATGATATCCAGAACTGTATTGACATGGTTAATACACAAATTCAAGAAGAAAATGATAGTAAGTATTTTGGTCCATTTAACTGTTCATTCATACATTTTAATAATAAAATATGGATCGATATATAATATATGTTAAATAGCATTAATTTATTTACAGTACTCAGTTTGTTTCAATAATGATAATAATAATAATCCAGGATTGTGGGATTGGAAACCATAACAAAATCTGGTCAACCAGAAAATACATATTAAATGTTTTGTGTGTGTTGCCTGAAAAAAACCCCTCCCTTTATTTATTGAATGTAGGGAAGATCATTTCCATTTCAACCATCAAACCCATTTAAAAAACAGTTTGGAGATAAATCAATTTTAGTGGCAAACTGTTCAATTGATGGTAGACTTCCTATGCTTCAAATAGATTTCAACAGATCTTCATATATCTGTAAAAACAAGAAGCCTTGAGCATCTTTGTTCCAAAAATAGTGTGAAGTTAGTATAATGAAGACAGCCATGCAAGTGTTAATCTAGCTTTTATTATTAGAATCAAGCAGATAATTTGCAAGTGTTCTGTAGATATTTGGAGAATTAAACCAGAAGAAATGAGTTTCAAATTGTTCTTCCTCTAGTTATAGTTCACTTATGTATATTCCCATATTGCTGTCCAGTTAAAATTGCTTAAGACTACTAAGTAATTTTGATATGCTTCTTTCAATCAGTCACTCATAAATAAAAGTATATTTTTGTGTACTTTAAAAATGGAATAATTAAAAGCTGAATAATAAATTTGGAATTATTAGTTTAAATCAGTTTGAATATTGATACGTAACTACAGTTACATTTCTTTAATAGTATATTAACTGTACACCTTTTTTTTTAGAAATTTTGGCAGTGGGTTTTATTAATGAGGCTATTGATCGAGGAGATCCAATAAGAACAATAGAAACACTGCTGCTTCCCACAGCAAAATTACAAAATATAAAAGAAGCAAATGCCTGTCATTATCAAGCAGTTTTGAATGATGCAAAAACACGCAAATGTCAGGTAGACAATTTTCAGTACTTTTTTCCCATTTTGTCACAGGTTTTTGTAATTCCTATATATATGCATTGCAATAATTTATTACAGTATGCTGATGGCATCTCTGGAAGATGTAAATCCCCTAAAACCTCTCTCTTTCAAAATGTAGACAAAACATTTTGTTTCTGCATATTCTGTGGAGTCTTGGGGTGCTAGGGAATTATGAATTGTCCTCAGCCTGACATTTTCAAAGATCTAATTGTTTTCTCAGTAATGAATTTGAATCTCTTTTATGCATTCTTTAAATACTATTATACCAGTAACATAATTTTAATAAAATTCTTAGGATTGGCTTTTTAAGAATTTGCACAATGGATTTAGGGGTTATTGACAAATTCCTTGCATCTTTGTGGATCTTACATTCTATAACAGAAAAAAATGCTTAGATGAAGGTTGTGATCTGAGATTGGGCAGTTTGTAATCTTACACATAACCCTGCAAGTGTAAAACCCATGCCTATCTACATAATGAGAAAATAGTCACATAATATTGTGAAAACATGAAACCTGTTGCACACTTAGGAAATACAGCTGTCCTGTAGCTGTCTATCCTGCAGTCCTATGCTGCAAAAGTGGAATCACTGTCAATTTTTTATTTTTTACTACAGGGATGTGTTACTGTAGAATCAGAGCAAAAAATAAATTTTATTTCATTTATATTTAAATTTAGCTAAAATATAGTTAATATGTTACATGTACAATAGTTTTTTTTTCTCATGTAACATTAAAGATTACAATTTGATATCATCTATGGAGAGTGTCAGTCATCCAGATCATGGTTGTTGCATAACAAATAGATTAGTCTGAACTTATTCTTCCATTTCCTCAATTCCACCCCCAACATTCAGCCACAATGGATGAAGTTTCTTGGACGAGAAGCAAAACATCTTTTGTTCCTCAAGGGGAGAAACATAGTCCTTTTTAAAAAGCACCTTTGAGGCAATTTGGTATCTGTAGTATTTCAGCTAATATTTGGGGGCATATTCAAAACATTTGAAAGCCACATCACACTCTAGGCTTAAATTGTGCACAACTCTGGCTTATTAGGTTTGCCATATTGTCTAGCTGCTATTATGTCAAGCAGTACATGCAATCTTCTAGTTTAGCAATGAAATTTGGGAAATGCCCATAAAACAGGAGCAACTACCGTGTTTCCCTGAAAATAAGACGGGGTCTTATTTTCTTTTGACCCCTGAAATAAGCGCTTGGCCTTATTTTTGGGGAGGTCTTATTATTTTTGAGGTGCAGGAGGCAGCGAGCGTGGTCACCTCATGGCTGCTGCTGTGTTGCAATATTTTTCAGGAGGGCTTATTTTTGGGGGAGGGCTTATTTTAGCATATGTGCTCAAAAGCCTGATTGGGCTTATTATTCGGGGAGGAGGTCTTATTTTCAGGGAAACAGGGTAAGGCTTTAGAAGACTGATTTCCTTGTGACATGGCTGCATGGAACTTAACACTTCTCAAAGAATTTTGTGGCTTACATCCTTTAGGGCTTGGTGCAGCTGGGCTAATAGAATAACAGAATTGGAAGGGACCTTGGAGGTAGTCTAACCCCTTGTGATACACAAACGCCTTCCACTGGGACTATGAACATGAAAGGCTCTTAAAGCCTTCAGCTTCCAAATGTTTGTGTAATCAGTAGCTTCACTGCTTAAATAAAGTGTGTGTGTGTGTATTACTACCTTGTTGATTTTTTTAAAAGGATTAAATACTAAGTTGGTCAACAAGTTGAAGATTCTTAATTAATATGGTAATTAATAGCATTCACATTTAGCCAAGTAATCATTAAAACTAAACATTAAATCATAATGTAAAATATTTTTGAGACATGTTTGAAATATAACATTGCTTAAATTTAAAGAATCACTCATTGCTGGGAAAAAAAAAGGCCAGGCCTATTTATTTTTTGTTGTCAATTATGAAGATATGCTACAACCAAAGCATGATCAAACCAAAGTAAAAGTATAACTTTTAACCCTGGGGATTAAACATTTTCCCCAGCAAAATAAATATGAATAGCTTTAAGTATTTACATATAATTTGATGTTTGACATTATAAAAATAGAAGTCTTAAATAGGTTTTTTTTTCCAAAAGTTTATGTATTTGTAACTATCAAATATCACAGGAGAGATGTGTCATGTTTTTTCTTCCTGAGCTATTTTAACCATGGTGAGATAGGTCTTGGGGTTGTCATTGATTTTGGACATCAGGAAATAAAGGAAAGGATCAAGACAACTATTCAGGCTGCTTAGGCATAAAGTAATCAAATAAAAGAAATATAAATTATCTTTAGAACGATAATAATAATTCAGATGATGAGCAATCAGTATAACATTGCTAGGAATATAACAAATAGCAAAAATGCTGAGCACAAGAAGACTAACTTTGATGTACCAGAACCACTTTTGTTCATAAGCCTTGAGTGTTTGAATAATGGAAATGTAACAAAAAATAACAATGCAAAGTGGAATCATGAATCCAAATACTGCAAGGAAGATATAGTAGTAGTGTTGGAAAGGAAGCATAGTTTCACAAACATTAAAAACATCATGGCAGGTAATGATATTTAGTTGGTCCAGACGATAGCTTTGCTTCATGATTATCAAAGGCAGCATATATAAAAAAACAACCGTCCACACCATACAACAAGTTAAAGTAGCTAAGAACTTTTTGGGTAGAGTCCTGAAGGTAAACGGATGAACAATGGCCATGTAACGGCTGATGCTGATACCCGTGAGAAGCAGGGTGGAGCAATATGTATTTCCATAGAAGACGGCAGTCATGATTCGACACATTGCTTCTCCGAAAATCCAGTTATTGCCATTCAGGTGGTATGCAATTCTGAATGGCAGCATTATACAGAAAAGGAAATCTGAAATAGCCAAATTTGTGTAGAATATGGCAGTACGGACTGATCTGATTCTGAAAAACAGCATCCACAGTGTTGCGACATTGGCTGGTACTCCTATTAAGACAACTGCTATGTATATAGCTGGTAACATCTTCACACTCAGTGAGCTAGTAAGGTACTCCATGGTGACATTATTTACTTTCAGTGATGAGATGTTGGATATTTCCATAGGACACTTTTCTTTTTTGTGATAGGGCTTTGTCAGTCCATCTAGGGCGGAAATAGGTATCGGCTCATACATATCTTGTGGAGTGCCATAGAAAGTCCTAATGGGGAGTGATTTATCATGTTGAAGGTCCAAACTGCTGTTGCCATACTTCTTTTCTAAAAATTGAAAAACAATGAAAATGTAAACTGTACAACAGAAATAAGCAGTGATATTTAAAAGTTTCTTTCTTCATTAAGCAGATTTAGTCCACAAGTATTAACAAGAGAGTGACATTTTAAAGTTCGTTTAAGAAAGAAAATAGAGGAGTGGAAAAGTATCATGTTTTATCAAATAAGCTTTGTTTGTTCTGTATTACGTTAGGGAATAAAATTAGCTGTGTTGAGGATTACAACTTTAGACTATTCAAATGATATTTAAGACGATAGAAAGTTTTACTCTTTCCTCCAGAACTTCACATTAGGTCATGATTTATACTATAACTGTAATATAGCAAGTTTAAATAACCTGCTATAGTTCAGAAAGCTTATGCCTTTTAGCAAAATCTGTTAATTTGAATTGATGGGACAGCCGGAAAGTCTGTCTATCTACCTATCTATCATTTATAGCAAAAAAGAGCAACCTACAGCTCTGAGCCAGGTTTCAAAAGTTCTTGTCAAGACCTTGCAGGCCACTGATAAAGAGTTATGTGCCCCTTTTTTAAGTCTGCTAGTCTGAAATGGGAGAAGAGGGATAAATAACTCTTAGTGGAAAAGAAAGACATTGTAAGGCGGGGGAGGAGGAAAAATGAGAATTGGCTCCGTAAAAGTCCTGCAGTTCTCAATGGATTAAAGTTAGTCCTCGACTTATTGAGCCAAAAATTTCTGTTGCTAAGTGAGACAGTTGTTAAGTGAATTTTACCCTATTTAATGACATTTGTTAAGTGAAGCTATTAAGTTAGTAACACGGTTGTTAAGTGAATCTGGCTTTCTCATTGGCTTGTCAGAAGTTTGCAAAAAATGATCTCGGGACACTGCAGAGGTCATAAATATGAGTCAATTGCCACACATTGAATTTTGATCATGGGGAAGCTGCAATGGTCATAAGTGTGAAAAAAGTCATGTCACTTTTTTCAGTGCCGTTATAACTTTGAACAGTCACTGAATGAACTATTGTAGGTTGAGGACTACCTGTATTTGAGAGGGAATGTAGCCCTGTATAAGGAAAGGAAAGAAAGGAAAGGAAAGGAAAGGAAAGGAAAGGAAAGGAAAGGAAAGGAAAGGAAAGGAAAGGAAAGAAGGAAAGGAAAGGAAAGGAAAGGAAAGGAAAGGAAAGGAAAGGAAAGGAAAGAAGGAAAGGAAAGGAAAGGAAAGGAAAGGAAAGGAAAGGAAAGGAAAGGAAAGAAGGAAGGAAGGAAGGAAGATTGTCCACCCCTATGAAATAGAGGGCTTCTCAAATGGATGTTTTTTTTAAATTATTTAGAACTATGTTACTTAATAAATAGCTGAAGAACAAAACATACGTTTTTCCTTCTTTCTGAGAGTGTTTACTTTTAAGTGATTGCTAATCCATAAGTAATGGGACATATCACTAAACAGTAATGCAATGTTTTTTATCCAAGTCCCGTGAATGAAGAAAAAAAATAATTTGAAGGGGAAATCCATCTGGTTGAGACCTTCTTTAATAATCTATTTGAGCCTGCGTGGTTGTTTTCTCTCAATAGCAGACCTAATTGCTAACAAAATAAAGGGTCAAGTTACTGACACACAAAAACACAGATATCTTACCTTTCCGGCACAAACAGGGAGACAGATAGAACAATCCAGTTGTCAATAAGAGCCAAGTTTTCATTGTAGCAGTGATCAATTCTTTATTTTCTACAATAGGCATTTTAACTTGTAGAGTCTTGCTTAATCTCCATTTTAGTGAAGAGATCTCAGAGTATCAGATCTATTTACTGAACTCATCCTCTGTAGCAATTTTACAGAAAATAGCTGATTTGTCCTTTTTCTTGTAGTGAGCAGGGTATGAGGCATCAGAATGCGGAAATGGGCGTGACAGCTTAAACTTCCAATCAACACAGACAAGAATTAACTCTTGAAGTACTGTTAATAGAGAATGAAATAATTATTTTGTGCAAATAGTGACTGAATTTAAAAACATTTGTTTACATTTTACAGTGTTTCCTTACATTTTCATTGGAACGTATTGCTACCAGACATGAAGGACAAAAACATACAAAACTTTCTGTTCTCTTCTAGTAGTTGACTAGATTTTTACAGTCCAGATTTGGTAACCTGATTTCGTAACCCTAACTTGCAACTGGAAAGAGAAGTCGTAGCTAGAGTCACGTAACATTATCTAGCAAGCAATTCATTTTAGAAAAATTGTATATGTCTGGGAGAATGAATTGCAGAATCAAATGGATTGTAAAAATAACTTTACAGCATTTTAATAACGAATTTGTTCTTAGCATAAAGGAGGAACAGACTATTAAAAGAGAATGCCTGCTTCTTTGAACTGTAGATGAATCCATTGGTCACATCCTTAGCCATGGAGCTGTACTCCAGCCTAGGAGCTGGTGTATATAAAATATTCTCCAAATTATCCTTAGGAAGCTAAAATATGAAAATAACTGAAAAACAAAGAGATATAACTGGTCTTCCATTTGGGAAACTTCTGTCTTTATAGCAAATTTGCTTTAATTTTGGAGTCGTCTTCTTACCTCGACTTTCTGTGGGCTAGTTCTGCCTTTTTCATACTCCTTGCTTAACTCCTTGTGCTGTTTTTGTCAGGGCTGAATGTAGCTACTTAGCTGCTTCCATTCAAGAATGAGGGGTCCTTAGAGCTTTCAGGGCTTGGTTGTTTTCTTGCAGATGTTTCATTACCTAATTAGTAGCACTGATGATGTTATCTAGTTTGGGTAATGAAACGTCTATAAGGAGCCAAGCTCAGAGGCCATCAAGGACCCCTCATTTCAACCCTGAGCTACAAATATGATTTAATGGTCCTTTCAAGAATCTTGAAACTACAAATTAACTTTTCCTCTGGTATTTGATTCAGCTTCTTGTATGTATCATTCTATTTTATTTTGATTTATTTATTTATTTATTTTGTCAAGCATGAATTAGATAACAGACATTATGAATACATGATATGAATACGAATACAAGGGAATATTAGGACAGGGATGGTAGGCACGCTGGTGTGCTTAAGCACGCCCCTTAAAACCTCTTAGAAATGGGGTGAGGTTGACAGTAAACAGTCTAAAGTTAACGTTTTTGGGGTTTGGGGAAAAAACCACAGTGTCAGGTAGTGCATTCCAGGCATTGACCCCTCTGTTGCTGAAGTCGTATTTTCTGCAGTCAAGTTTGGAGCGCTTTACCATACGTTTGTATCTATTGTGTGCTTGTGTGTTGTTGTGGTTGAAGCTGAAGTATTCATTGACAGGTAGGACATTGTAACAGATAATTTTACGTGCTATGCTTAGGTCGGATCGAAGTTCTAAGTTGTCTAAGCCCAAAATTTCAAGTCTGGTGGCATAAGGTATTCTGTTGCGAGCAGAGGAGTGGAGGACTCTTCTCGTGAAATATCTCTGAACTCGTTCGATTGTTCAATTGATTGTGATGTTTTTCACTGGGAATACATTTTAAATACACATGCCTGCTGTTTTAATTATTATAGTATGCTACAATCCATGTTTTATGTAAGTTCAAATATATAAGTAGAAAATTAGAGTTATAAAAACTGAATATAACTCTCAATTATGGTTTTAAGAACCATATTAAGAATTAACACATTAGGCTAATACATCTTATCTGATATAGTAATGATAGTGTGATTTACATGAACTGAAAGCGTAGACATTATTCTAGACATTCTGTACAATGGAGATAATTCAAGGTGAGTTGTGTTGAGAATTAATAGGTATTCTGGGAAGGAAAGAGAGTAAGCCTCCCTTTGCAATTAGTCCTTATCAGACCTTTAATTTTCATAATATAAATTCATACCAGTAGCCCCTTTTTAGAACAGCTTAATAATCTTGGGATATTTTGGTTGACCAAGTTAAATTTTCAAAAATTGTAATGTTTAGTTTTATCTTTGTTTTAACCAGGAATCTCATGATAATTCATCCATGCTTTGGCTAGATGAAATACAGAAAGGAATTGATGATGCTAACAGAAACTTGGAAGAGGCATCAAAATGTGAGAACTGATTTGAATCATTATATTAAGCCCTACTTCTTTTGCAGTCACTACTAGATTTATAATTGATTTCAGCATGCATTCTCAAATGAATCTTCTATCTTGGAACATATGTTTGGTAACTTGATTGTATGAAAGTACTTAATGTGCAACATCTTGCAACAGATGTGAGCTTCTAAAATGATTTCACAATTTGACTTCAATGACCTCCTGAATTTAAGAATTTGGCAATCAGTAACTATTAGTCATTATGGCTATATGCACCCTACAAGCTATGTGTAGTTCTCCATACGTGTGCGGAAAGATCATTTTGCATTTTAAACTTAAGGATTTCTCATAGACTTTTATTTGGCCACTTTAGAAACAGGAAGCTGTATCAACTGAATGGTTATTATTTCAAGTCTGCAAAAATCTGGATAAATGTCAGATGAGAACAAAAAGATACATAAAAAAAGTTTTTGCTACTATCTAGTTAGTCTTCAGGATTTTGCAGTCCAGATGTGATAGCTCTGCACAAATGGGTCTTTAGAAAACAGAATTAAATAGATGAAAGGGAACTAAAATTGATCTTTAAGATCCCAACTATATTGCTGATCAGTTGAGAGCTAAACAAAAACAAATATTTTTCTGGGAACCTACTAAGTATGTAGAGACATATGTCAAGTTCCCTATTAAACAGGCAAACACCTGTTAGGAATCTTGCTCAGCGTTAATTAAAATGCTTATTACACTTGGCATTGATGTCATTCTGTTCATTACAATACTGCATATATTGCAGGAAACTACCTTTTATTTGTAAGTGATTGATTATCTGAAATCATACAGACAAAAAATATTTGCTACGATAATTCTGAGAAGCTTCATAAAATAGCTTTAAATCATGTCACAATATGAGAATTGCAAAGTGTTAAGTGGACTGCATCTGGGCTGCAAAAATCTAAATGATAATTTGATGGTGGGCAAAAGGTACAATTCTATGATCTCTGCCTTTCCCCAGTGCTTGTCTAGATTGTTACAACCTAGATATGGAAAGCCACCAACCATAGTTGGTGGGGGGAAGACTTTAAGTAATTTGTATTTTTAAAATATGCCAATTTACATATGGTGGTGGCAGATCCATGTGCCAAACTCGATTTAATTGAGGGCCACATCAGGGTTGTGTTTGACCTCCAGGGGTGTGTGGCCAGGGTGGGTGTGGCCAGGGTGGACATGACCAGCTTGACATCACTCATATCAGGGGCACCTGTGATGGTCTGGGTGAGGCTGTGGCAGAATCCATTGTCTCCTGAAGAGGAAGATGAGACCAGGGAGAAGGTCAGATCCTTGTCCTTCAGAGGAGCCTCGCTGTGCCTCTCAGGCCACATAGACCCCCCAGATGGTGGTCTAGGCTACCTAGAGCCCTAGGCAGCAGAGGGAAAGCACCCAGCCCAGGCTTCATGCTCCCAGGGCACCGGGACCACACAGCCCAGCCCAGCCCTGCTTCCCTGAGACTGTGCCTGGCAGTGTTTACCTTCTCCTTGAGGCTGCTGTTGCAGTTCTCACTCTACTTGGCCAGGCTGCTCATAGTGTGCCTGGGAGGGCAAAGTGTGTGGGTCATAGGGAGGTCAACTCCCTCTCCATGCAAGGAGATCCAGCTTTGTAACCAAAGGATCCTCAGCAATAGAATGGAAGACCACCAGGAGAGATCAGGAAATGGAGACAAGGGGTTGGCAAAAGGGCTGCTGGTGGCCAAGTGCTAAGACAGGACTTCCCTCAGACCCTTCCTTCCTTCCTTTTCTTCTTTTTCCTTCCCTCTTCATTCTTCCCTCCCCTCTTTCCTTATTTTTCCTTCCTTCCTTTCTTCCCAACTTTCCTTCTTTTTATTTGTCTTTCCTCTTTCCCTTTCTCCTTTCCTGTCCCTTCTTGGATGCTCAAATGCAAAAGGGGAAACATTTCTCAATGCCTCTTTGCCTTGTGAACAAATGCCACTTTTGCTAATAGTTTGTTTTGCTAGCATTCTGCCAGCAAAAAGGAGCTCCATTTTTGGCAGCGACGGCCTCCTGCAGCCCTTTGTCAATGAAAATGGAGCTCGGGGGGGGGGGCTGCATAGCCCTCTTGAGGTCCATTTTTACTGGCAGAGGCACCATGGGCCAGACCTTTGCTGTTTCTATGGTGGCCCCGCGGGCCAGATCTAACCACCTTGTGGGCTGGAGGTATCCTGTGGCTCTTGAGTTTAACACCCCTGTTTTATGTGTAAAAAGATGACGGGATGACATATTGATAAGCAATAAAGGTACAAATACTATTTGTAATACCTTAAGACAGCAATTCATTACTCTGTTTTTTGATGAAAAATGAAGCAATGGACTCTGAATCTAAATATTTATATTCTTTGGGAGCTTTGTTCCCAATGCTCCAAGCCAAACACCCTCCTGAGATGTTACATTCTGGAATGTAAACAATCTGTAAATATTTTGTATCTCAACCCTTATGTAATCTTATAAAAATGGTCATCAGAAATTAATAGGATTTCTTGAACAGGGAGGAAAAAGAACCAGTATCAAATGCAGCATTAAAAATGAAAAATAAGTTGCCAAAATTTGAGTCTCTCAAATTTAAGAGGATAAACTCTTGAACTGAAGCAAGCAGTAGAGCCTTCTCAGTATCTCATATTAGTTTAGAACACAAGAATAAGGAATTTCAAGGTTGCAACTGCCTTCCCTCCCTCCCTCCTCTTGACAATTATTGCTTCCCCTAGAAAACCAGCACATCTGGGAGGTATCTGGAGAGAATCCCTTATCTTGATTAATTCTGTTTTCACTGTGTGAAGGAATAATAAATACTGCTTTGTCACCTACATTCTGGAATGTGTTCAACAGAGGCTGTGTACCATATGGTACTTCTAAATGTGTAGATCAGAAATGTCAAACTTAAAGGCACAGGACTTTGTCACTTGAAAATCTTGGATGTATTCCCCAGAACCCTTTCAATAGTTACCCTTAATTGTAATATGTTACCTTGAATGTTTAATGTGACAGAAGGGCAGAACAATTAAATACTTGGAAAGTAATTGCATTAACTATATTTAATTACAATGCATATTAAACTAAGCTAAATATAGCTTTTGTCACAGCCCATGTCTTTGCCTTGCATATCTCTAGTTTCCACTATAAATTTGGCCAAAGAAGATCTTTGTTCAAGGCTCAGTGTTATATACGGTTCCTTCCATGGCAATTTATCACCCAGATTTTCAGTCTTTAATAAATGCTTCAAAACGTTCATATACACCTGTACATATTCATGCACAAAACATGCTCCCACTTAATTTTATATGTTCAAATTAGATATGTAATAAAATCAAATTAATCTTGGAAACTAATGTGCAAATTTAAACTTTGTCATTGGTTGACATGAATTGGAGTACAAAGTCACCACCATCCTATATTTATCTATAATGTTGGGGTTGTGTATTCTTTTCTATCCTTGCCATCCCATGCCTCCCCTCTTACCCTTCCTGACCCTCCCCCACTCCTATTCACTCCGTTGCTCCCTCCTTCACCCGGCAGCAGCCTCTTACCTGTCTGTGAGCTTGGGACTTTCAACTTTCTAACAGTTTCCCTACTGACTTTGGTTGTGGGAGGTCAGCAAACAGTTGCCTCTCCTAACACCCGTAGGATTAATTTAACAATGACAACTGTGACTGCAGGAATTGCCATAGCCCTTTACAACTGCATTGCTTAATAATGGAATTTTGATCCCAATTGCCACCATAAATCAAGAACCACCTATAACTTAGTAGTATTGATTCTTTCTTTAAAAAAGCAGACAACCTTTAATACAGGGGTGGGGGGGGACTGAAGAAAGAAAAAAAAATTGCAGATTGCCTATTCTTCATGTAAGATATTGTGGGAAATGTACAGTACTAATACTTCGTTGATTCTACTCCTTAGTGGCTGTTGGAATATGTATGATAAACCAGTGTTTAGAAAAAAGTGATTCTGCATCAATCATCACAATTTTACAGTCACCTAATTTCAATCTGAAAGCTGTTCCAGAATGTGCTGAAATCTACTATGAACATTTGCAGGAAACTAAGAATTTAAAAACCAAAGGTATTGTTGTTTGTCCCATTTTACATAGCATAGGAAATGTATAATGCTCCTGAGGTACTCCAGCGCTCTACTTCTTTAAATATTTCATTAAATATTTGTTGAATCTAGATCATGTATTTGCTGACCTTGAAACAAGTTGAGGCCAGGAGTATGTTTCAAAATATTTATTGACATTTTTCTGGATGCTTTGATTTAATGAGTACCAAATGGTAATTTGACATAATTTGTTCCTTTAAAGTCCTGATTTAACTGAAAATTAAAGAGATTATTTTACATGCCTCTAAGCTGTTCCATCTGAACTATCTTTAAGAAAGGCTCCCTCTGTATTTTATAATATACTGTATTGTTTCTACCCATTTTCATTTCTGTGTTATTGCCCACAAATTGTATATGTTTGCGTGCTTTCTGTGTGAAGTATTTAAATGATGATCCTATGGTGGGGAAACTTTTCTTGCTGTTTAAACAGGAACTGTATTATTGAATCAATCAGTGAGTCACCAATCCCAACATCCGGTGTTTCCTATCGCTGGTTTATTTCCCCTGAAACATCAGGAACAAGTAGCAGAAAGCAATAATACAAACCAGCTCTTATTTTCAAATCAAATCAACTCTCAAAGTATGCGAGGCTATGTGAAATGCGTTTAGCAACTTTGAGGTAAATTCTTTTGCACTTGCAGAAAGAATTACAGAAAGAATATCCATGCAAATACATGCATGCAAATGCATACACAGAGATACCTTATTAGTTTTGTTACTGGGTGGTAATAAAAAATGCCCCTATTGATGCTTTGTACATTTATCTCTTCCCTCATAAGGTCATTTGTGGAAGCTTTGTAACATACCATTGGTCAACAGGGACCCTATTCCCATTTTCATTCTGTCTTATCAATTTGTAGAATGGATCATGTTTTCGTGCCAAGAAAAATATTTTATATATTGTATTTTAAAGTATAAGATAGAGACTTAAAATACATTTATGTGTTTCAGCAATATGTAACCAATAAAATATTGCTTTCAACATGTTTAGAACCTGATGAAGGCCCATGGATTAAATTTTTAATTCAAGATAGTTATGATTATTATTTCAATGAAGAAAGTGGAGAGGGTACATGTACTCCTCCTGAAGGAATTACTCTCAAAACATCCTGGCTGACTGGGGAAGAGATTCAGGTAAGATGTTGTAGAAACAATAGTTACTAGGGATAAGAAGTGGAGGGGGTGTTGGCGAATATAGGAGTGATCAAAAGATGAAATGCAGTAAAAATAAATTGATGTATTAGTATATTATTTATTTGCAGTTTCCATTGGATTTGAAGTAAGATTTCTATTTCTATTTTATGTTACTATATTTAATCTTATTGGTGCATGTTATAGATTATGAATAATTATCAAATAATAAGAAATTCTGTTGTTACTGCCATAGATATCCTGAGGGAAAAAGAGCGCCAGTGTGATGCAGTGGTTGTTGGCATAGCAGTGGGGTGACTCAAGTTCTAATTCCTCCTCAGCTTCAGAACTCATTTGATTATTGTATGACACAGCATCAGACAACCCAACCATAGGATTTTTAGTGTAGATAAAAAGAGGAGGAAGGAGTGCTATGTACATCACCTTGAGCCTCTGAATGACAAACAGAATATAAATATAATCAGTTAGTCAATCACTCAGTTACTGTGGGTTATAAAGATCAAAATGAAATTAATTCTGATCTTTACCTATTTAACAGTTTCCATTTAATATTCAGAAATGCTTATTTTGAAAAATATTCCAAGGAAGAAGCTAAAAAAAAAAAAGAATAAAATATTGTCTTCATAAATTTCACTCAGTTTGGTTGGAAGTGTAGTGTAGTTAACTGCTGAAACAATATGGATTTTGCTGAGTTTCTTATTTTGGCTGTCTCCTTAATATTTATTTTTCTTATAGAAAATTGTCAGTGAGATCACATCAAATTATAATAGAGAACAACTATGGTGTGCAAATGAGGACCTGATCATTCAGCTGCAAGCTAAAGCAAGGGGATTTTTAGTCAGGAAAAAATATAAAGAAAGAAAAGCTTACCTCCAAACCCAGGAGCCATCAGTGATAAAAATACAGGTAATATGCATCTAGTATTGGATGACTAATAATCTAATGAAGAGTATTAATAAATACAGCACCTATGTTCCTTCTTTATGTTTCCCAACACTCCAACATCTCAGTACAGATAAGGTTTTCTTGTAAGTGTGCAATTAAAGTTCTGTTTTTAATAATTAAATCAAGGATGGAATATAGCCTATGAAGATAAAGTAGTTTTACCAGGCATATCTAACAACCATCCCTAAACTTTCCTTGCCAAAAACACTTATTGTTTTTGCAGTGTGATATATATTCTATGCTGTACATTGTGTAGCAAGTAAAAAGCAATCATTATAACATATTTTTAAGTATTTTATTTATATTTTAATATTGTAAGATTTATTCCATTTGGAATAGAAAACTAAAATAAAGCTTACTATAAATGATGTTTGCTGTCACATTTTAATAGAAGCACACTTCTATATCCCTTCTAAGAGCACAATATAGATTTTTATTTGAAAAAGAAAAAAATGTCCATTCTGAAATTTGCAAGTACAAGAACAGAAAGCATGGCAACTTTGCTATGCTTAGAGAAAGTTTGGAATTGATTTAGTATTAGTCATATTGCTAATACCTCTTGTGTTTTAAATAACCAGGCATTTTGGAAAGGGTATAAACAAAAGAAAAATTATTCGGAAAGACTTCAGCTGTTGCAGAGAAATGTTGCCTCTATCACCAAGGTAAATATATCTTGTCCGTAGTGAATTACAAAGCTAACTTTGGCATTCTAGTTATGGGCCACTGGCTATGGCCTAATAATCTCTCTGATTTCCTACATTTTAATTGTGTACATCTGAATTGTTTCAATTATTTTTTTAAAAAAAATCTATTGTAAATGTGACAAGTATTTTGCAGCTTGTAACACCTTTGTAGTTGCCCAATGAAGCATATGGGATGAAGTCACTGATGAAATGTCAAAGATTGGGCAAATTGGGCAAGAGCAAGTTTAATTATGCCTGTTAGCTTTAAAAAAGTAGATACCAATCATCTGACTGCTTTTCATTGAGAATTTGTATAATTGTGTAAATGGAACTGTGGAAATCTCATTTGATATTTGAAGCCAGATGTGATGGATTTGGTTTGTGAGACTGAATGAAGAAAATTTACACCGGCTTAAGGGCAGTGAAGCTATTGTTCATGTCTTAATGTGAGATGTGATACATAAGCATATAACATTATATTCCAACTAATAAAAATAAGATGCTAATAAAAACTAACAATATGCTAAAAACAAAAATATTTAAATATTGATCATGTAAATATTTCTTAATTCTTTAACTTTTAGATTCAGTCATGGATCAAAATGTGGTTAGCAAGAAGAGCATACAAAGAACGAATACAATATTTCAAAGATCATGTAAGATTTTTCTCTTTTTTGTTCTCTTATTTAATAGTTAATTGCTTACAACAAATTTCATATTATCCCAATGTCATAAGATAGAAGAAAGAGAAAATTAATAAGACTATTATGAACACTATCTGATATCTATCTATCTATCTATCTATCTATCTATCTATCTATCTATCTATCTATCTATCTATCTATCTATCTATCTATCTACACACACACACACACACACACACACACACACACCATGAGAATACGAACTACAAAAGATATTTGCAGCCAGTTTGTTTCCTGGGTAACAACTGTAAATGTACTGTATATATTATGAGGTTTTGTTTTTTTCAGAATGAAGAAATTGTGAAAATTCAAGCATTCCTTAAAGCAAATAAAGCTAGGGATGATTACAGAATTTTGAGTAAGTACTGAATAATATTTTTTGAATATACTATATACTAGATAAAGGAATTAGATGTCGTACATACTGTATAACAAAATGAATGTTCCCAAGCTCTACTTTTCCTTTTTATCTAATACCGATAAAGATGTTGGGTGTTCTAAAAGCATGATCAGGATAATGGACTGCATAAGATTCAGACAAGATATGTACATTTCTCCAGCAGAATGGTGCCGTGTCTGTCCTGGAGGGGTCTGCACATGCCTTAAAGAAGCAGGTTCATAGTTTGGGTGTGGTCCTAGATCCATTACTGTCACTAGAAGCTCATAGAGCACTTTTTATTCATCAGATGTTTTCCTAACTGCAAGTCTACCTGAGACAACCTTGGAAAGTTGTTTATACTCAGTTATTCAATGTTTTTAATCTTTAAAGCCCTAACTGGCCTAAGGATCAAGTTAGCTGAAGGAATACCTTCTTCCATGCGTATCTACCCAAACTTAAGATTATCTAATGAGGCCTTCCCTCAAGTCTCCTAAACAAAGGAGAAGATGGGAATCTCTACAATGGCAAGAGCTTTTTAGGATAGGATAGGATAGGATAGGATAGGATAGGATAGGATAGGATAGGATAGGATAGGATAGGATAGGATAGGATAGGATAGAAGTTGGAAGGGACCTTGGAAGTCTTCTAGTCCAACCCCATGCTTAGACAGGAAACCCCACACCACTTCAGACAAATGGTTGCCAATCTCTTCTTACAAACCTCCAGTGTTATAGCATTTACAACTTCTGGAGGCAAGTTGTTCCACTGATTAATTGTTCTAACTGTCAGGAAATTTCTCCTTAGTTCTAAGTTGCTTTTTCTGTGATGTCATCTTATTTATGGAATTCCCTCCCTACAGAGACTTGAGTTAGGGGCAGCCACATTAGTATCATTTTGGTTGCCAACTAAAAACTTTTTAAAATTTTCCCTGGCTTTTAAATTGTATTTCAGTTTATATTCTTGTAGTTTTTGAATATTCCCTATGCTGTTGCCTAGATTACATGGTGTTTTATTTTATATTTTACATACTTGTGTATGTTATTACTTTGATTATATATTCTTAGTATGGTTTATTATAAACTGCCCAGAGAGCTTCAGCTTTTGGGCAGCTGAACTTTTTAAAAAGAATAAATAAAATCATGTTTTAAATAAAATTGTTTTGGCTGCCAGGTACCATTTGTTTGGAAATGAATTCTGTAATTTTTAATTTGTTTACTTCATTTATAGCCAGTTCTGCAAATCCTCCTTTGAATGTCTTGCGCAAATTTGCTTATCTCATGGATCAGAGTGATTTAGATTTTCAAGAAGAGCTAGAAGTTACAAGGCTAAGGGAAGAGGTGGTCACCAATATCCGATCTAGTCAACAGTTGGAAAAAGATTTGAATTTAATGGATATTAAAATAGGATTGCTGGTTAAAAACAGAATAACATTACAGGTTAGTAGACATAATGTTTTCACAATTGTAGTAATTAAAGTCAGGTTCGCTTTTTTCCTCTTTTATTACATATTTTTATTTGCCCTTTAGCTTGTAAACTTGTGGGCTGGGACTTGATTTCATGCAAGTAGTCTCTGATGGAATATTAAAAATTCTCTGAAATAATATTATTGTTTATGTATTGTTATTATGCTTATTAATATTGGTTAATAATTTCCTGGTAAAGGTAATTGTGAGATCTCTTTGGTTTTCCAGAGAATTCCATTTCTACTTCTGTTCCTGGATTCTCTTTTGTTAAAAGATGCAGGACCAGCAATTGATCAGCAATTCCTCTTGATCAATCACAAATACAGAGATGTTATATGAGCTTAAATAAGTATCTAGAATATTTTATTTAATAAACCTTACTTTATGCATCTATCAGTGGACTTCAGATACAACAGACAAAATTTTGGATTTAACTCCAAATAGTCAGTTTTAACTTTGCAGTCAATTTCTGAAGCAATCCAGATAACTGATATAATTTAATTGTATCAATTACATCATTAGTATACTGGCAGAAATATAAATTGACATGGTTGACATAATTTCCTAAATTACATATCTACCCTGATTGCAAAATTAATGTAAATTGCATCAATTTACATCAATTTTAATTTAATAGACCTTCAGCTTCACCAGACAGCCTGAGAATACCTGTCTTAATTCCTGCTAGATTTGCTCCCATGAGGTTTTACATTTTAAACATTATTTTGTAACTGAAAATATTTCTGGGAGGAGTTGGAAGCTGGCATGCTGCAGAGAAGCATCTTCCACCATTCATGCTTATTCACAAGGCCTCAAATGTGTCTTGTAAATTTGCTTAAATAAGCACACTAAAACCAGACATTAATTGGAAAATATGCTAACCTGTCAGGGGAAAAAAGACAAAATACTGGTAAGGGACAATAAGTAGTTATTGTAAGGTTATTTTTACCTTCTTGTACTTACAAGATATGTTAACATTACAAATGGGCTCACCAAGCTTCAAGTTTAGAAACCCAAGGGTTATTCTCTCTCTTCCTCTTCTCAATTGCCAGATTTTACTTAAACTCTCATAAGAAATTGTATTTCTGTTGCTGGGGCTTAGAGCCAAGCCATGCTCTTCCTTTTCAGGGGTTGCTTGATAAATTTTTGTCATAGTGGTTCTATTTTTGTACTTGATTAGGTACTCAGAGCCATACTACGAATTTCTCTCAAAATGCTAAATTGAAATGAATGTGATTGTAACAGCAAACTTTAATTTCTACCAAATATCAGATTTGAAGTGTTGGCATGGCTTTCATTTTTCAGGATGTTGTGTCACATAGCAAGAAGCTGAACAAGAAAAGCAAAAACCAGCTGCAAGAGATGGTAACTGGGGAAAAGCAAGGCATCAAAGGCTTGAGCAAAGAGAGGAGGAAAAAACTAGAAGCGTATCAACACTTGTTTTACCTTCTTCAGGTAAGTAATCAGTGACTGAGAATTTATAATGCAGAGGATCATAGATTTCCTTTTTTTTTTAATAAATGTTTTTTAATTTTAGTTTAAAACAGGTACACATCTTTCTTTACATCTGTAGAAAATGTATCAATCAATTACAGATAAGTTTTGGTACATCTCCTCCACAGTCAACCAACATAGCTCATATTAACTAAAGCATTATTATATATCCATTTTCATTTAACTGTAATTATTATTTAGAAATATTGATAAAAGTAATAATCTCGAACAATCCCCGCCCACACCGGTGGGAGAGGAGGGAAAAAAAAAAAGGACAGATAAAAAATAAAAATAAAAATAAAAAATAAAAATAATACAAAAAAAGACAAAAACGACAAGAGACAAGGCAGGAAAACAAAACAAAACACAGGTGTCTATCATGGAAAAAAAAAGAAGTATATCAACTGGTTACAACATGCTTTGGTGCTTCTCTTCCATTAACTCATATTAATTCAAATATCTTAACTCGAATATTTACCATATCAACATCATTATACCTCCAGTTTTAATTACCTATGGTTATTTAAACATCCTTCATCCTTAGCTATGCATTACATAATTAATCCATAACACATGCTGACAATTCATTTACTTATTTGTAAAATCCTCTATTATCATCAAATCCTCATATCCTATTTTAGCTGGACATCCATAATATTTAATTATATCATATATCATAACATTTTCCCAGTATTGATTAACATTTGATTGTATGTATTTTATTTAGTTTTTTAATAGTGATAATTATTGTAGTTAATACTCTTTATGTATAATCTTCCAATTGTTAGTTATCATATCAACTCCACATTATATACATTACTATCAATATCAATTATTATTCAACTATATCTGTTACAAGAAAAAGCAATTAGGTTTAACTAGTTTTCAATTGTATTCTTCAATCTATCAGCCAGTTCCAAATTATATATATTACTATCCATATCAATCATTATTCAGCTATATCTATTACACATTAAGGTAATCAGATTTAGCTAGATTTTAAATTACGTTCTTCCATCTATCAGCCAGTGTCTCTCCAATAGCAAGATCATCTCCAGCCAATTGCCACGCGTTGGATAAATTTACCAAATGTTTTCATAAGCAAATCCAGACAAAGATATTTTGGCACCTTTGGACTCTGAATGTCAGTGATGAAATAATAATGTTGTAAAATTTTCCAAATTAACTTTAATTCTCAAGGGTGGATTTTCCATTCCTCCTGCACTCTGTCTTTTTAAATGAGTCTTCTTTATAGCTCCCCCCCTCCTTTCTTCCTCTGAGATAGACCAGACACCATTTCTCACATTTTCCGTTTGTATTTCAGGAGCATTTAAACATTCAACGATCTCAGTTTTTACTTCATATTTTAAAATCAGATGGTCCAATTTTCTTTCCAGCCTTTGATAAGAGTCAAAGAGTCCTCTGCATGCGGAAAAAAGAATCTGAAATGAAATCTTAGGGGTATTTTGGGACGCCATGATGTGTCGCAGTTAAAAATTGCAAGCTCTTTTTTTTTCCCCCACAGACTTCTTAGTCTCTTACAGGCTGTGCAATCTTATCTGATCGTAAACAAAGCCAAGTAATAAAGTAATAAAAGTGTCGAATCGTGACGGGCTAATTAGTAGAAAATAAATTTTACGATCCACTTAGGGAGATTCAGAGGGGGGAGGATGTCGAGGAGTTTCTTGAAGCATTTAAGAAGTAAAGTAACCACCAGCCATAAATCCATTAAAAAAAGCCAATTCGCCGCTAAATTTTCCTGTTCTTTGGTTTCAGTTATCTTAAGTTTTTAACGCGAACAGTCTCTCTTGGATAATAAAATCAGCTTACCAGATGACATCACTTCTACCATTCTTAGGGGCAACCTGCAGTTTCAGTTAGCACGCAGCTAATCCAAAAAGGAATTGGCACGAGGAGTTAATTCCCCCCCCCCAGAGACTTGCGGGTGTCTCTGAGGTCCTGGGTCTCTCCTCACCTTCACTGTCGTCTACGGGACAGCTAGAGTTCAAAGAACCCGTCCAAAAATCCTTCGGTATAGAGGAATTTCAGGAGTAGCCTGAAACTCCATCTTCTCACTGCTAAGCCCCGCCTTCTTCCTCATATAGATTTCCTTTTTATTGGCTGTGGCATTAGCAGTTTTTGAAGCCAAACCAATTCAAATCAATTTGAACAAACCTCATTATAATGCAATCCAGCTCTTCAGTCCTCTAGGAAAACACACACACATACACACACACACATCCAGCTCTTCAGTCCTCTAGGAAAACACACACACATACACACACACACACACTACACCACACACGGAGTGCAAATCAAAATTTATTTTAAAAGAACTGAATACTAAATTTCATCTTCTCTTTTTCTTCTGCTGAAGATTACTCATTCTTGTACTTTCAAATACAAGTACACATACATTCACTTATACTCAATTATGTATATACATAGTACCCTTTTACTTGCAGTTTTTAGGATCAATCCAGAATTGAAATATGATCTATTACAAACATATTGGGAAGGCTGCATTCTTCTTTCTATAGCAAAGAACAGAGAGTGCTAAATCTGAATCATGTGCATTTAAGAGGTACATGAACTCAGGCTCCATAGCTACTTGTAATCCTTTCATTAATCTGACAGATGGGAGAATTATTAAATGCATGATAAATAAATATCTAATTAGCTTTTGACCTAGCCCCTACCTCATTTCTTTGTCATGGTGCTGCCCACTGATAGCATATCACTGAAGGACCAAAGGATCATTACCCACCCCTCGGGTTACTCAGACATTTAAATTAGCAAGAGTGGTGGTTCTTTCATTGAACGAGAAAAGGTCAAAAAGTAATATTTGAGAAAAGAGATTTAATTACTTATGCAGTGAGAGAGAAAATTTGGCTATCTACACTGAATCTAAGGTAATAAAAATTAGCATGTATCTAAAGAGTTTTGCTCTTTATTGAAATGTATGTAACAAATCTAAGTGTTATTTTATTTAGTTCTGGCAATGATATACAGGTAGTCATCAACTTAACAACCATAATTGGGACTGGAATTTCTATCACTAAGTGATTCAGTTGTAAAGTGTGGCATCATCTGACTGCATTGATTAATTATGGCAATCCCATAACACCCCATTGCAATTGTTAAGTGACTTCCACCAGTCCTTAGGTAAGGATACTTCAAATGTAAGGGATTGTTTCCCCTTCAGCTGTGCCCTCCCCTTCAATTCTCCCAAACCATCATGCACAGCCTTGGAAAGAAAGCCCTGTGCAGCCAGCAGATGCCTCACAAAGGGCCATGCTGGGCATATTTGGTCAGTAGCAGGAGCAGGAAAACTATGATGGGCAACTCAGGCAGCAGGGGCTATGGAGTGCAAGAAAGGGAGGTAGGCAGGTAGGCTGCCAAATGCTCAAATTTTGATCACATGAGAGATGCTGCAATGACCATAACTTTGGGAAATGGTCATAAGCTGGTTTAGTCTAGTGGTTAAAGCACCAACTAGAAAGCAAGAGATTGTGAATTCAAATCACGCCCTATCCACGAAAGCCAGTGGATGACTTTGACCTAATCACTTTCAGCTCAATTCACTTAAGGGATGTTGTGGAGAAAACAGGCGGAGTAAGATGTGCTAGATATGATTGTCACCTTGAGTTATTTGTAAAAATAAAGGTGAGATATAAATAAATAAAAACAATAAATAAATATTAGTTCCCTGATTATAAGGTACAATGGATATAAGATAAATGGTTGTATGTTGAGGACTAACACAAGGTGAAAAGATTGCTAGAATGCTGCATTAGTTTAACACACTATATTTTATGTCAGTAATGGAATTTCTAGTCTAATGCTAACACTTTTACAAGAGAATTTTTGATCATTGAAAAATACATGTGGATATTTCATTCTGTTAATTCTAATATTCTTTACACAGACTAATCCAACCTATCTGGCAAAGCTCATCTTCCAGATGCCCCAGAACAAATCCACTAAATTTATGGATACAGTTATCTTCACACTATACAATTATGCTTCTAATCAACGAGAAGAATACTTACTTCTGAAGTTGTTTAAAACTGCTCTGGAAGAAGAAATAAAGTATGCATATTATTTCTCTTCACTTTTTAATATTTGTTTGAGTAGAGACAATAGAGCAATAGAGAAAAACTAGGCATTAAACTTATATTTCCTTTAAACTTGTGTAACTAATATAAAGGGTTTTTCATATAATGGGAAAGTAGGAAGTTGTTGCTCGTTGCTCAACATAGGATGCTTGCATCACACTTAAGCAGTTTTAAGGATCAGGCTGTAAACTTCAGGGGAAATGATGTGCATTAATTGAATAGATCTACATTTGTATTTCAAAATGTTCCTACATCTAATTCTTGCATTTTGCAAAAACATGATTCATGAAAAAAAAACCTCACTACAATAGCAAAAATACAATTTTGATGTCTGAAGTCAAAATATAAATGTTGCTAATTTTCTTTACTGCAGTTCTAAAGTAGATCAGATTCAGGATATTGTCACGGGAAATCCTACTGTCATAAAGATGGTGGTTAGCTTCAATCGAGGTGCACGAGGGCAGAACACATTGCGTCAGTTATTGTCCTCAGTGGTAAAGGACATAATGGATGACAAATCCTTAGTCATCAATACAAGTCCCGTGGAAGTGTACAAAGCATGGGTAAACCAGCTGGAAATGCAAACTGGAGAGGCCAGGTCAGTACACAACAAATGAATAAAACTGATTTTGATTTTCAGTATCTCTAGGTGCTGTTGCAAAATTTGGCATGAAAGAGGAGGATTATGACAGAATAAATGACAAAAAGCAAAGAAAAAAATGTTGGTTACTCATAACAACTGAAATTATGTGAACTGAATTCCAATATATTTGAAGAACCCTAGAGTGGGGAAGATTATATTAAACATAGTAAACCAGTGTTTTTCAACCTTAGAAGCTTGAAGATGGGCGGAGAATTCCCCTGCCAGCTAGGCTGGGAGTTGAATTCCATCCATCTTCAAACTGCCGAAGTTGAGAAACACTGCAGTAAATGTCTGTAAAAATTCTCAGTCATCCAGGTCATAGCTGTCTCAAATGTGCTTTTTCAGGAGGCAACTGGATTTGAATTTAATTTTTGTTATTTCTTTTGAAGACATTTCACTTCTCATCCATGAAGGTTCTTCACCTCTGACAAGATAGTGGGGAATGGAAGGATTTATATTCCTTGCAGACAGTTGATAATCTGCATCCTTTTGGGGGGTTGTTGAAGCATTTGGAGATTTATCTGTGTCCTCAGGGTCACCGAGTAGCACTCCTGTTTCCTGTCGTCTGCCATTTTTCTCTGAAAATCCATTCCTATTGCCACACCACTCAAAGGGTGTTCATCCCAAATTGTATAGCTAAAAGTCTATAGAGATTCTCAGTCATCCAGGTCATGGTTGTCCCGAAGGTGCTTTTTCAGGAGGCAACTGGACTTTCTTGTTTTTTTCTTTTGAAGATGTTTTGTTTCTCTGCAGCAAATGATTAGGAAGTCTATTTGGGGTTTTTCAACTTTAGGGGGGTTTTTTTGGTTCTGAAAAAATAGTGACATTAAATGAATGTGATGATTTAAAATACATTGTATTTATTTAATCTCAAAAAAATGGGGTAAATGACAATCATGCAACACATTTAAAAACAATGGCCATGCAATCTATATAAGTAGAAAAGTAATCTTTGATTTGCTGGATTGATTATATGCTTTCAAATAGTGAAAGCATGACCACACAGATAGAACTTCTCCAGGATGAAGTTACATCACCAAAACAATGGAGTGCAAAATCTTTGGACATTTAAAAAACTCTTGTTATCTGAATGAAATGCTTAAAGACAGCAATACTTTTACATACGTTATATATTTAATATGATTTCCAGATGTGGAACTTCATTTTTGCTATACTTGAAGGCTTCTTGTTTCTGCTGAATGAGGCCCTTCTGCCCCCAAAGAGTTTAAAAATACAATAATTTCCTTTAAAAAACCATTGTTGGTTTGATACATAGAAATGAAATACTTTTGAGTAGACTAATTCACAGCTATTATAAGGATGATATGTTTGATACTGATTCTGTAAAAATGTATTACAGGTCTTATTATACATATGTTTTAGATTCGCCCCAATTGTGCCCTTTATTGCATAAATGATATTTAATCATTCTGTTTGGGGTCTCAATATTTCTTTTTTTCTCAGATTTTTTTTTAAAAAACACTTCCTGAGTATACCGATGTTGTGCTGTTTCCTGGAAGTGTCATTACAATTTTGGGTCTCATTAAAAATATTATATAAGATAATTTCTTAAAATGTTTTGCATATATGTGCATATGTATCTTGAAATTCATGGGTGGTGTGAGAATGTGTTTCCATTTAAATTATTATTTTTCTATCAAAATAGTTTATTTGGAAAACATGGAAAAATCCCATTTTGAAGTATAGTTCAGTGTTTTAAATGATCAGAAGTATTGGCAGTTTACATTTAGTGGTAATCAGGCAAACATATTTATTTTCAGTGTTTTAGATTTATCTTATACACTTTGGTATATTGAGCTGTTGCCATTAAAAACACTGGAGGACAAATTGCATTGAAAATATGATGTAGTCAAAGAAAATTGGGTTGGTGGTGGAATCAAATGCATCAGAAACATAGCAATCTATAAGATTATTGGAGATGTCTCAATAAGTTCACAGAAAAATAACACTTTAGCATTGTTAAAATACTAAAAGGGATGTGGTGGTTCAGTGGTTAAGACATTTCGATATGAGCTCCTTGAAGAAAAATCACAGAACACAGAAGACCTGGCAGAACTTATCAGAAAACCTGGGGAGAAACTGTGTATTAAACCAAAGCAGGAACAAAGCAGCAGATAACAAGAACTTCTTTCTCAAAAAGACAAGAAGCAAAAATTCTTCCAGCTGGCAGACCCAATGAAAGCCATTTCAGTGTTTACTTTTCAATCAGAAAGGTCAACAGTTCGGTGGTTTGAATCCCTAGTGCCATGTAATGGAGTGAGCTCCCGTTACTTGTCCCAGCTTCTGCCAATGTAACAGTTTGAAAGCATGTAAAAATGCAAGTAGAAAAATAAGCACCACCTTTCGTGGGAAGGTAGCAGCATTCCGTGCGCTTTTGGCGTTTAGTCATGCCGGCCACGACCACGGAGATGTTGTTGGACAGTGCTGGATTTTCAGCTTTGAAATGGAGATGAGCACTGCCCCCTAAATTTGGGAATGACTAGGACATATGTGCACGGGGAATCTTTACCTTTATTATTAAAATAAGCTGTGATGCAAATAATTATAATTAATCCAGCAAATTCATTAACATATAAAATAGCTAAAGTATATTTTTTTTAAATGTTCAATAAAATATTAATTCTTCTGTGCTCTGTAGATTATCATTTTCTTCTCCCTTTTTGTAGTAAATTACCCTATGATGTAACAACAGAACAGGCCTTGGCACACCCTGAAGTAATGAATCGACTAGAATCCTCAATTCAGAGTCTCAGAGCAGTGACCGATAAAGTCCTTGCCTCCATATTCTCATCTCTGAACTTAATGCCGTAAGTGCAGGAACCTCTGAGAATGTTGGTGGAATTCTTAATTAAAAGGCAAACTTACTTTGTAATTCCTTAGTTGTTTTATTTATTATGATATTTTACCAGCAGAGGGAAGTATTTACATCTCTATAACCAATCACATTCTTTAGATTTGAAAAAAACATTCACAATGTATTTTCTTTTTGAATATATCATCCTGTTTTGTTTATTTCTAAAATATTTAAATACAATGTTTTCTTTTTCTTTTTTGGTTGACTTAAATATATTGTTTTTCATCCCAAGTTTCCACTTGTTTCCTTTTTCATCTGTTTTTGCATGTAGTTATGGATTGAGATATATAGCCAAAGTTCTGAAGAACTCACTTCATGAGAAATTCCCAGATGCAACAGAAGATGAGCTTTTAAAGGTAGATTTGCAAGGGTGATTCAACAGCTTCATTGTACTTTCTAAATATATGAGAGGGAATTTATGTATTTATTAGCACTGGATACAGTATAACTTAGGAGAACCAGGACAAAAATATAATATTTTTCTATCTGAAAACTGATTTCTTAGATAAAGATCAATGATACTTAAACTTTTTTGATAATACAATATGTGGGTTAATATTCATGTGAATGGGGTGTTTTTAAAATTAATTATGTTATTATTTATATGGATTATTCCATATTAGTAAAGTATATTTTCTAGATCACAGAATATAAGTAAATGTAATCAGTTACAAATAATAATTGCAATTTTCTGCATTAAGGTATTTATTTTCCTTTTTTCAAACAACATTAAAACTGTTTTAGGCCTAGAATACTAGACATATGTTTGTCCTCCCTCAAAATGACAGGAAATGCCTGCCAATTTTTATCAGTTGTGAGTAAGGGAGATTTGGTGCAGGATTTAGTAGTATGTAAACAAAAGCCATAAAATATTTTTAACTTTGTTTCTATGTTATTTAAAGCTATAAATCTTTAAAAACAATTTATTACTCTAATTACAGTAAAGTTGGAACAAATTAATTTTTTGAATTTGTCTTGGTTGAAAATGCTTGTATAAAGTGACACTGTGATATTTCATCCAGCCTAGAAAGCTGAGGCCATGTAAAATACTTGCTTCACAATAAGACTTAGGCATTTGCCTGAATGTGTGAAGGGTTCAAAAAGAGAAAAGGGTAGAACTTGCAGTTCCCTCAGCTTTATAGTTTCTATGAATTCTAGGAGATTAACGTGAATGCAACTCTAGCTCTCCATATAAGTCAAGATCCAGTCTGATGAGCTCTCTGATCATTCAAGTGGGGCTTTTGTTGCTTCAATAACTCTTTTTCTTTTCTTTTTTTTCTTTGGTGCCTTTGAGTCAGTATTGACTAGTTCCTGGAGTTTTCTTGGCAAGGTTTTTTGGGGGAAGGGGTTTGCCATTGCCTCCCAGTCTCCAGTTTCTAGTCTGATGCTTTAACCCAGGAGTGGGCTCCTATGGGTTCGCCTGAGTTCGGGAGAACCTGTTGCTAACATTATGGCCGGTTTGAAGAACCTCCAAAGAAACCCTGCCATGTTACAGGGGGCTGACTAGGCCACAGCCACCATGACCATGCCCACCCAGCAACCGGGCAAAGAGATCATTGCTGAAATTTTTGAAGCCCATCCCTGCTTTAATCACTACATCAAACTGGCTCTTGCTCTGTCCTTTAGAAAGTCTTTAACGTTGCATGATTAAAGAGGTAAAAAGTTCATTTCAGCTCTAAATTTCTTATCATAGTGAAGATATTTCTTGGTGTCAAGTTGTTTTTTCCAAAACTTACTATTCTAAGAATATGGTCATTTAAGGCAATGAAGCAGGGAAGAAAAGAGAAGGAGATGAATGGAATGGGATGTTTTAATTTAGACATCTCTTTGCTCCCCCTGCATGCTGTAGACTGCTCTGCCAAAGAAAGCTATCTTATTTTTTAGTATGAAATGAGGTTGGGGGGGGGGGGGGGGAGGGGGAGATGAAAATCATTGAGTGTGTATTCATTACTAAACCTTTATAGTCCAATTGTATAACAGTTCGGAAAGGCAAAGCTGTTACATAGAATCAGAAAGACTAACCACACCTCCATTAATTTGGGGGGAAATATTTCATTTACATGTTCCTGTTTTGACCAAATGCAACAATCAATGCATCTATTTAAAATACTTTTTTATCATTATGAAACAGTTTTATTATTGAAAAGAAAGATGACACTGAATTTAAAACAGTCTCCTCTGCTCATCCCAGCATAAAAACAGAACAAACCCTCATGCCTACTCTTTCACCTTATCAGTCTTCATTGCCAACTCCAGCTGCAGCCAATCAGTTGAAGATTCGACCCCATAAATGTTTGAGTGGTAGATAAGCATGTCTGTACGTGGGTAGATATACTGTATCTGCCAGGATTTGAGAAGGAAAGAAACAATAGGATTAAGAAAAGAGGAAAAGGAATAAATAGCTGTACCAAGAAAGGAAGGGAACTGGATGCAAAAAAGGAGAAGGAAGTGGGATAAATTAAGGGGAAAAGAAGAAAAGACAATGCTTTTGGCATTATAAAAAGAATTAAAATTCACCAAATGGTTCTTCTCATGCAACTGATGTTCAAATGATTTATGACTTTCAGCAGATTATCTGCATCCATTAGTACCTTCTACCCATTCACATGCAATGTCTTATAAACAAAATGTTTATAAGTCTCCTTTCTTGCATGTAATTATTAGGGGGGGAAACACATTTTCTTATTTACGTACATCTTAATTCTTACATAAATACCTATAAATAATTGCTGGAAATGTTGAGAATGTTTATTTTCTCTAAGTAGCATGATAAGTATCATACTATTATTAGTATTATAATAACTCATACTAAGTATTATACTAGACATAGGTATCAGTTATATCTTCAGATAAGGGATGTAATGATGCGCATCATAGGTTTGATCCAAACCTATTGGATTTTATTCCTGATTTTCTGTTTCCGGTTTGTAGTATATAACCAATTGTTTAAGAAGTAGGGTTTAAATGGGTGAATAAAAATGCCAAGTAGAGGTATCTAAAAGTGACTTTCCCCAATAGATTGTTGGAAATCTCCTGTACTATCGGTTCATGAATCCAGCTATTGTTGCACCTGATGGTTTTGACATCATTGACATGACAGCTGGAGGGCAGATACATTCTGATCAGAGGAGAAATTTAGGTTGTGTAGCCAAAGTCCTTCAACATGCTGCATCAAATAATCTCTTTGAAGGGGAAAATGCTCATCTCTCGTCCATGAATAGTTATCTCTCCGAAACATATGAGAAATTCAGGTTGGTACTCATCTAATGTACTATAAAGCATGAATTGAAAGGATATCTTCTACACATCACTCACTGTATATATTTTTGTAAACTTGATGGTTTTATCTTCATTTCTTTTCATAACATTTCATTTTCTTAATATTCAACATTCAGATTCTGCATTCTTGTTAAAGCTGAGCCTGTATCAGAATTTTCTCAGGTGTGATTCAGACCTTGCATGAGCACAGCACACCTCTGCTGTTCATTGAAGCAGCCCATCTTTTTTCTGGCTTTTCTACAAGCCTGAAAATAGATGCAGTTAATTAAACTACTATTGACTCTTTTAAGTTAACACTAAGAAGAAGATGTATTTTTAAATGCTTTTTCTCCATATAGGGTTAGAAAACCATTTTATCCTGTCCTGGATTTAACCAATTGGATAGTGGTGGCATATATATGTAGTATTCTGAAATTCTATTCTCTTTCCACCTTAGGAATTTTTTTCAAGCCGCATGTGAGGTTCCTGAACCTGAAGAAAAATTCAATATTGATGAATATTCTGATATGGTGACTCTTAGTAAGCCAGTAATATATATATCTATTGAAGAAATTATCAACACACATTCAGTAAGTGCATGCAAAGAAAGTTGTAAGTTTGGGCACTATGGATCTGAAATATAAAATGTATAATTTAATGATAGAGACCAAATATTTTTTTCCTATTGGAATTAGATTCCTGTGATAACCATTTGAGCAAATACTTGGAGACATTAATAAGAAATCATTTCTCTAGGGTTCTTTAAATTAGGAAATGTTCAAGAGTATTCAATAAATTTTCAAAGAAAAGGTGAACTGTGTTACTTTCTTTTTTCTTAGTGTTAACAAAGACAATCACTGCATATAACAATTATTGGGAGAAAGGGCAGGAATTCTTAGTAAAAAGTTTTGGAAAGACACCAGTTTATATTTTGAACAGGACACCTGTTTATATTTTTACATTTTTGTGCAATCCATTTCATAGAGATTGGAAAGGAATTACAGTTGGATAGCAGACTTATCTCTTTTTTTATACTTCTTCAGAATGTTAGTTTTAAACAAGACCTGTTACATATTTATACATATATCTTTAAAAAGAATGCAAAGGATAATTGGGTTCCATACATAACTATTTTAACCATGCCTTATTTAAATATTCCAAGAAAAATATAATGGCTAACACAAATAGGAGAAAACTGGAACTACAGTGGTGCAATGGAACATCTAAAACCTAATTTCAGATCTCCATTTTACTCTATAAAATATTTCTAGTTCTCTTAGTTTATGTTTGCAACATAAAAATGTGTATTAATTTAACGACTGAATATTTAATCTCCTGAAAGATTAGAATTATTCAGATTTGATCTTCAGAGTTCTGAGTTTAATACAATAGGCAGATAATTTAAGTTCAGGACTAGATTTTGTAAAATTATAATGGTATGATATTCAGGGCATGGGCGTGCTTAAATAACAATTTGAGAAATAGTGATTATTTAATGGAAGTCATTTATTATCATAGTCTTCTTATTTCTTACACCACTAGTAAAATTACTTATTGTAGGCAAGCTAATTAGAGGAAATCAGTTTGGATGGTTATTCTGTTTATATTTATAAATTAACATTTCTTTCAAGGTTGATAATTTGGGCAGTTGAAGAAACTATCTGCATCTCTAATAATCATTTATGGTTATAGATATAGTTCCTCTGATAGTGTTAATATTTGCTGACTGTAGAAAAAGCATGGTTGAAAGGTTAATGCAGCACATTTTTCTAAAAACATTTGGTTGAGATTATTGCTTAAATATTTAAAAAGCTTAATAAATTTTGACCTGCTTTTTGACCTTTAACCTTTTTTTTAGTATTCCTGAGTTTTAAATCATGTTAATTAATTTCCTGAAACTGAAATACATAATATTTTTGAGGAATACATTTGGAACTTTACAGAAATCCAGAGAACATTTTGTTTTTTACAAGAACAATGATTTTTAAAGACACTATTGTAAAAAAAAAAAAAAAAAGCAAAAACATTCCTGTAATAGAAAGGATGAAATGTTGCAAATCATATTGAACAAAATAATCCTCCACTGAAGAGAGGAAGAGAATAATTTCCCACTTTCTGCTATTTTGTATTTTTTCTATGGGTCTCCTCAGTTCTGGGGACAATAAAAATTGCCCTCTCACAGTTTATTGGCACATAGTTTCTTCTGCCAGCAGATGCCATCCAAAATCTATTAAAAGTCTCAACTGTGAAATGAGGTATTTCGTAGGAGCAATAGATTTGTAATAGAGAATTGGAAACCATTAAATAAAATCCTCTCTCAGTGAATTATTTAAGTCAGACATTTGATGCTGGTTTCATTGACTAATAATGTATGTGATTTTTGTGCCAAATGTTTTTAGGATTGTGACAATTCTGTATTAACCAAATCCAATTAATATGAAAATAAAGAACAGTATTAATTTTAAAAATTATATATTATTTTCAGATGAAGAACATATTTTTTGCATATACAATAGGAGTTTTGAATAACAAATCGGTGGAATAAATTACAATTCCAAAAATTAAGAATCTATTTTAGGACTGTATCTTATTTCTTGTACATAATTTTTTCTGGTTGTTTGATTCCTAAAATGGCATTGAAGGGACACTTCAGAATGGGGTGATTTATTTCTTGTTCATGTGAAATAATTTCCATATGAATATGGGTTTTGCATTTTTCTTTATGAATACATATTGCATTTACTTCTACCAAGTCTCCTGAAATGCTTTTTTAGTATCCCTTTTGGTTTTGTGTTTATTTCCATTTATAGTATTATCATTCTGGTTCTGTTATGTATTTAAATATTTATTAGCATATGAAAGCTTTGTATCCATAGTTTTGACAAGTATAATCTCATTTACAGCTATTGTTAGAACATCAGGATGCCATTGCTCCAGACCAAAATGATGTCTTAAATGAACTGTTAGAAGGGTTGGGGAAAGTTCCAGATGTAGAGACTTTTCTTGGTAAGATAATACAACAAAAACCACAAAAAGGCAACTAAAAGATTGAATATAACCTGTGCATAGATTTAAAACAATATCTGTTAAACTAGAACAATATTTTTGTTGAGTTAGTACAAGTTCTCAGGAAATTTGTTTGTTTGAAAATGTATTTCCTTCCTTTACAGTGGAAGTTGCATAACTACACACACACACACACACACACACACACACACACACACACACACACACAAGAGAAAACATTGCATAGAGTTCTGGACAAAAATATGATCTCAATCAGAATTACCACATCAAAGTGGATGAATGCATATATTTTTTTAACATGAAAAGGGTACATTTAATGAAATCAGGTTCAGAATGAATAAAGAGAAGATTGTGAGGTGGTCCACTTTCTACTTAACGTTTGGTCTAACTCTGGAAGCCTGGTTAGTAGCATAATAAGACATTTCTCCTCTATATCTGCAGATGTCTGCTAGGAAAGAAGCTGATAGTAAGATGCGCTCTACAGACTTGTGACTCAACATTCTTATTTCTTCCAGCATTCATTCATTCTCTCTCTCCCTCTCCCTTCCTCCCTATCTTGCTATCTATCCGTATGTATGTATGTATGTATGTATGTATGTTTCCCATTTAGAACTTGCAATACAGAGTCTCATGATTCAATATAATCAGTAGGTGTATCGTCCTTTCTATCAGCATATGATTTTAGATTTTTTTTTTAATCTGGTGTTTTGCCAGCTAAAAAGTAAGTAAGCTACATATGTGTACATGCATACATGAATATGAAAATCAAAAGTTAATGCCAGAACTAATTATTAGAAAAAGCACAGGTACATTTGTGCAAGCTGTTAAATGCCTTTACAGATAATTCAGATTCTTAAGATAATAAAAATGAAAATTGTATTTTTTCACAGCTCTCCAATAATATCAAATCATATGTATGAGAACTGCCAGGGAAACTCCAGCATCTTGTGTGTATGCTAGCCAAATCTTTAACAAAAGCAATCCACAGAATGACTTGTTTTAGCATGTAGCATAGAGTCAGAGTTGTCTATAAATTTCTTACCTCTTTTATTCCCATAACTATCCACAATAGAATAACATGTTTAAGTAATTGAACTACAAATATACTTTGTGTAGTTCATGTACAAAATTTTCCTGAATTTTTTTCAGTCATTGAAAAGTTTTTTTTTAAGTAAGCATTATCTAGGTAGTGTTGTCTTTATGTTTGTTCTGATTTTGCTTTTTTTTTTTAAACTTCATAAGCAAAAAGTTGGAAACACTAATTTTTTCTTCTCTGCAGGGGAAGGCGCTATTGATCTCAATGATCCTAACAAGGAAAATACTTTAAATCAACTTGTTAAAACAGAAATTTCTCTTTCACTGGCCAGGAAATATGATTTACGGGAAGGGGAAGAACAAGACATTAAGGGCCTAATGATAAAGTATGTTTTTAAAATATATAGTATTGGAAAGGCTTTTGTCAATGAATCGTAGTAATAATTACTAATAATCGTGAAAATCTTTATGTAGACTTTGACTACATGTTGAGAAGTATTAGGCAGTAATAAATATATGTGTGTGTCTGTATGTATATGAAAACATTATTTAAGTCCAATAGGTAGTAGGTTTAATACTGAGTTTTATAAGCATTCTTAAAATCACAAATGCACAGTGATACATATTTAGGAATTTCCTTAATTCCTGTCTTGTTATTAAGTGCAGTGTTGAATTTGTATGATGGTATTTGGCTGTCTCTCTAAATTAAAAGGCTATTGGAAAGTTCATAGAAAAAACCCTGAAGTGGTTTCATGATAAAGTTACATGAAAAAGACATTGGGCAGCAGGACATAGATTAGACTTTCAGGAAACCAGAGGAAACATCTGCCTTGGATTTGTACAGTTAGAAATATTTAAAGTACTTTTTTTAATGTACAGAGACCTTCTTCTGTGGGGATATGATGAAAATTAACTTCTACTGCTGCTATTTACTTCTTAGTAGGTCTGCTGCTATTTACTCCTTAGTAAAGAAGGAGTTTCTATGAGTTGTGATTGATCTGTCTGTCTATGTTCTATCTATGTTCTATCTACGTGTGATGTGCTTTCTTTATAGTGTCTGGGAGCATGAATACAGCACCTGTTTACAATTACTTACTGCTTTAATTTTTCCTGTGATCTCACAGCTGCTGCCCCTTGCAGCACGTGCACAATTCTGGGAAAAGATGCAATGGCCTTAAGGAATTGCAGACAGATGCTATGCTGTACCAGATAGATTTTTGTGTTGGGAATCTGGAATTCTTCACACACCTAATCTGTATATGTATACACATTACATTTCTGTATGATAATCAAGAATATAATCTCTGAATAGAAAAGAGTGAGCTTTCTTTCACATAAACTATGAGATAATTTTATAATTACATTTGAAGCAAAGGAAATCAGAAGATTCTATTTTTTCTTTCTTTCTGTACTTTTCTTTTTTATTTGCTGTTTTTGTTCTTTATTAGTTTGGGTTGGATTTTATGCTCTTTGTAAAACTTTTAGTTAAAATTACTTTAAAAATGAATATTATTTTACCATTTCACTCCAAAGTTTTTTGCCAGATATAACATGTATAAGAGGCAGAATTATACTCTTATACTTAATCTAAAGTATTTCAATATGAGGACTTTCATTAAGACAACAGTGAACAAATCATGCCATTCTTAAAAAGCATGACAACTGCAGTTCATAAACAACAGAAGGAAAAAGCAATACAGGAGTCCTCGACTTACAACTACAATTGAGCCAAACATTTTTATTGCTAAACAAGACAGTTATTAAGTGAGTCATGCCCCAGGGTGTTGTGCAGGCAGTTCCAGGAGTCAATGTTGATTTGAAGGCTCATACATACATCTCCAGAGAACATGCTACAGAAATCAATCAACATAAAGCCACAATTAAACAAGAATAGATTGACTTATGGTAGTTTGAAAATTCATAGTGTTGAAAGTGATTGCCATCACTTCTAGATTTCATTTAGTAATTCTTTGCCTGGATAGGTTGCATTCCCTCATGCCTTCAGATACCTATGCCTTCTCTTTTGATTATATATTCACATCAAGTTAGTGGGCTTTCCCATTAGGTCTTATATAGTAATCCTCAGGGAGGATACATACTTATATGGGAGGACTCTATTGATATAGTGAGAATTATTTCCGAATAGATATCTATATATAAAATAATGTAGCAGTCTTTAATAACTATCCATTAATCACAATTTCTCTGATTGTTTCATTAAGAACAAAGAGGCTAATTATGGACGTAATACAAGCTCAGCCTGGGGAGTCACTTGCAAAAATTCTGGAAATACCAGCTTCTGAACTTCAGGTAACCATTCCATTTTGTATGTATCTGGACATTTCAATTCCGAAATAATATTGTAAAAAACACATTTGCGAATATATTCTTAAAGTAAAGTAGTCATCTCCAATCTGGAGAATAATTGAATAACAAGTATGTTATGTGCTTATTTTGCCCTATTTCTAATAACTTAGATTAGCACTCTTCTCCCTTCGTTTAGAAGCTAGGATAATGTGATCAGTGCAGGATGATTCCCTAGACCCAATAGCTTATCCTTCCCTAACATGATGACTTTCAGACATGGTGAACTACAGAACCCTGTCAGTAGAGTTTCAGACCCTGCTGGCTAGAGTCTCCCTTAGCTCAGAAAATAGGGATGCCACTACTTGCTTCTCTAGTGAGAGGTTTCCCGTTCAACATGGTATATGTGATTGGATAGAAAGATCAAAAACATTCTGAGAAAATGTCAGGAGCTGCATCACAGTATTTATGTTTACATGCTTTTACATATTGATCTATCTCCGTGATGGCGAACCGATGGCATCCATGTCCAAAGTGCCATGTCACCTGGCACGTGCGGCGTCACCCATTCCTCTTTTGGGTTTGATAATATGAACCCGGTATCTGATGACATTTCCAACACTTTTCCGATTTATTCTTGAACATTGTTGCTATTCTCATCGGGGATAGGTGCCACCTGTAAAACATCTTATACAAATTTTCTTTATATGCTGTTGACATTGTCATTTTATATTTTGAGACTACAATTTCTACCAATTCTCTAAGTCAATCCCATATCCAAAGTTTTTCCCCCAAGCCATCACAGATTCTTTAACTTGTCCTTCTTCTAGCTTAACTTCTAATAAATATCCATATAGTTTTTAAATTATCTTTTCATCAGTACCTATCAACATTTTATCTAACGGTCATTTTATCATGGAAACCTTCCATTTTAAGATCTTTATCATATCTAGAATGTATTTGCGCATATGAAAACCAATTCATCTTTATACCCTGCTGTTCCAGTCTTTGCATAGATTTAAGTTCACCCTTTGCATTCAATATTTCACCATATCTAACTGTTTGTTCCTTTTTGTATGTTATTGGATATGAAAAGGCTTCAATAGTTGATATCCAGACTGGAATTTTTAAATAATGTTGCCTTTTAATCTTCTCCCAATTTAAAAAGCATCACGTATATAATGTCGTCTAAAATACCCCTGTGTTTTAGTTCCCTTGTACCATAGAAAAGAGTGCCATCCCAACAACAAATCATGTCCTTCTACAGTCAATAATTTAGAATTTCTTAATGTTATCCATTCTTTAATTATATTCCAGTTTTTTATCTCTTGCCTTCTGTAATATTTGTGTCTTAATTGCTTTCTTAGTGAGTCTTATATGAACTTCTCTTGGGAGACTGTTTCTCACTGCATATCATGTATATGGACTCGAAACATCTCGTCTATACCATCCATCATTTTTTCTTTGTTTATCTCCAGGGCATCTGCCAGAATTTCTATCATTATTTCTGCCAAGTTTTCTCCATTTTCCACTTCCATGTGTTGAAATCTGAGGAGCATAATGAATTCTTAACCACTACATTGGTTTCCTTGCATGCTACATCTATCTGTTAGGAAATATTTGTGTTCTAATAATTGAACTAAAAATATTTCTTGCCTTAGGCTTGTTTTTTAAACCACTTTTAAAAAGAGTTATTCCTGTTAAGGAAACCAATGTAGAGGTAAGAACTAAGAACTAAAGCTAGGCATTCCGGATTCAACTCTGCCCTCAGTCACAGGAACTCACTAGGTGATTTTTGATTAGTCATTCACAGCCCAACAAGCACACAGATTGCTGTAGGATAAAATGAGGAAAGCTTTCTTCTTCTGGATGTCAAGGAAGACATCTTAACCTCCAGAAAAGGCAGGATATGAAGAAATATGAATAAAGCCAGCCATGTAAAAATGCTACAGCTCTCTCTGTTTCCACACCACCACAAAATCTGTCTTTATTGCTGAATCTTCCTTGCCCTGCCCAATGTTTTTGTTAGATGTATTGGTTTTGTGTATTCATGAAAATATAGAATATGCAATTCTTAATTCTGATATGAACATATAAGCTTGCTTATATAAATGGTGGTAATCTTTCTCTGCCTATAAATACAATATATACCTGCAATCTTACTTATCTTGCTATTTTTTCTTAGGAAACGGAACATAAGAAAATAATAGAAAAACGTGCAATTTTGGATTCTAAAACACCAGAGAAAATGAAACATAGTCAATCTATCCTTGAAGAAGGGCAATTGCCATTAGAACAAAAGAAAAGAAAAATTCAAAGAAACTTGCGAACATTGGAACAAGCTGGGCTGGTTTCATCTGAAAACAAATATCAAGAAATCATCAATGAAATAGCCAAGGTTGTAGCAATATTATTATATTTTTCCAATCATTTTCTTTTTTCATCTTGAATATAATAGGTTCATTTTGAATAAAATAGCATGTTGTAAAGTGAAATGTAAGCATCGATGAAATATTCATAGTAACCTAAATTAAAGAAATGATAGGGTTGGATATCTGAATATGATATTTATTCATGAATTTTAAATATTTTTTTTTATTATTAACTTAATTTGATTGCAAGTTCATCCTGCAATGACTCTTAGTGGGTTATTCTCTGAACTATACTTAAAAAAAACAGTTGTGGTAATGAACTACATGATGCAGCTTCAATATGTTTAATTCAGTTGCCTGAATTGTAAAGATTTATACATAGTGTTCATTTTTAAAGTGCAAGGATGGTTTTGTAGTTACCATGTAGAAAGTATAGTGCATTCAGCTTCTCCATAATAGCAAAATGTCCCAATTACTTCTTTCCTAAATACCAATATTGAATCTCAGTGTTGAAAACTGGTTATGTCTAGATGAAATTAAACATTATATAGCATCACAATGAGCGCTTTGTTTGGATAAGGAGATTATTTTTTTATATTTTGTTCCTATTGCTTATAAGCTGCCTAGAGATGAGTGAGCAAGTGGTCATATAAATTTCCTAAATAAATAAATGAACAATTGCTTTGCCAATATAAATAGTCCTTGATTTTCAACCAGTTGTTTAGTGGCTGTTTGAAGTTACAATGGCACTGAAAAAGTGACTTATGACCATTTTTAACACTTATGACCGTTGCAGCATCCCCATGGTCATGTAATCAAAATTTGGACACTTGCCAACGGCTTGTACCTATGACAGTTGCAATGTCCATAGGACATGTCACCTTTTGTGATCTTCTGACAAGGAAAGTCAATGGGGAAACTAGATTCACTTAATAATCGTATTGCTAAGTTAACAACTGCGGTGATTCACTTAACAACTGTGACAAGAAAGGTTGTAAAACGGAGCAAAACTCATTTAATAACTGTCTTGTTTAGCAACAGAAATTTCCCTTCAGATTTCTATCATTCCTTTTCCTAAAACCTTACTTTATTCTTGCAGCTTTCTAAGGTAGGGTTTGTTTGCAGATTTAAAAAAAATCCAGGTAGGAAATGAGTTTTCCTCTTTTGAAATGATTTTTTAGGATATCAGAAATCAAAGACGATACAGACAACATCGAAAAGCAGAGTTGGTAAAACTTCAGCAGACACTGAATGCACTCAATTCCAAGAAAGCTTTTTATGAAGATCAAATAAATTATTACAATACCTACATTAAGACATGTTTAGATAATTTGACAAGAAAGTGAGTAAAATATTTTCATATACAAAGAAAATACTTTCTATGGCAAATGTTTGCATTATTGTTATCTGTTACACCTTATTAAAAATCAAAACTATGCTGTTTTATGTTAGAAAATAAATTACTGAACCTTTTAAACATTTAAACAAATCTTAAAGACATTGAGCAACCTCTCAACTTAGGCGATGCTGAGACTATTTTTCATAATTATATGGATGGCTGCATATTTTAATACAGAACAGCTTGGTGCTGTGAAAAAATTATGGAGACACTGTGAGTGTTATGAATCAAAAAGGTTTGGGAAATTGGTGTAATATCATTCTAAATGCTTTCAAGTAAACAACTTCATATGTAAAGCAAGTGATCGTTTCTAGAAGCCGGTATTATGCAGGGATCGTCAATTTATGTCCTTTACATCAGGGGTCCCCACCTCCTGCATTGCAGACCAGCACTGGTCCGCAGCCCTCCAGGAACTAGGCCACACAAGTGAGCAAAGCCCCATCTGTGCATGCACAAGATTTAGGCAACTCACAAAACTATGCTCCCCGTTCGTGGGAAAAAACACCCTCCACAGAACTAGTCCCTGGTGCCCAAAAGATTGGGAACCACTGCTTTAGATGCAGGCTCTGGGGCACATTGCATTAATATTGAAGAAATTTACAATTTAAATTCAGTACCAAAATGGTTGATCACTGATAGTGCCGTTATAAATAAAGCAAATAAGAAGAGGGAGTGAATGTATCATGCCTTGCAAAAGCAAATAAATTATGTCTTTAAGATTTCTAATCTAAAAACAAAATATTTCTCTAGTAACTACACTGTTATGGGACACAATATTTTGCCCATAGTCCTAGATGGGCAAAATATTATTAATGAACATATTCCCTTCCACAGACCAGAAAAAATGCCTACCCCTTATACTCCTGAAGAACATAATTCAGGGTCTATGACAATTCGCCATGGCCAGTTTGTCACGGCCAACTTGCTGCAGGGCAACTCACCATGGCCATCTTACCACAGGAGAATTCACTGCTGGACCAGAGTTACACTAATATCAAAGAAATGATGGAATAGAATCTTTAAAGAAAGTGTGCAAAAGGAGGGACAGAATGAAATGTGAATGGCAAAAATTTAAAATAATTTTTATTTATTTTAAATAATTAAATAGAATTGTTAAATTGTTCCATAGCGAGTTGTTCTGCGGCAAGTTGGCCATGGTGAGTTGGCAACAGCAGGTTGGCTGTGGCAAGTTGTCCCATTTCTCATAATTAATTATCTTTATTATTGCACAGCTTTTTTCCCCTGAAAGTCCAGAAACAAGGTCAGGTCTTTGCATATCCAATGCCAGATTGGTCTAGTGGCTAAGGCTTCCAGGCTAGAAACCAGAAGACTATGTTCAAGGCCCAGCTTAGCAATCAAAGCCAGTTGGATGACTTTGGGTCAGTCACTCTCTTTCAGGCCAACCTATCTCACAGGGTTATTGTCGGGAAAATAGGAGGAAGAAAGAGCATTAGATTTGCTTGCGACCTTGAATTGTTTATATATAAAATAAAGGCAGCATATTAATTAAATAAATAAATAAATTTCATCCAGGCATCAAGACATTAGGAAGATCCTGGCTCATAAAATGAGGGTGGAGGTAACGATCATCAACTCTTTCTTATTTTCATTTCATTAATTTATTAACAGAGATTCCCCTTTTAATAACAACTTGTGAGTGCCTTTACTCCTCAAAAAATGTGAATATAAAAACATTTGTATTTATTTTAGTGTTGTGTTTATTAGCAAAAGGAAAACATGTTTCTTCTGTGACTAGCCTAACATTTATTTATCTGATCCAATTTACAGAAATTCACGAAGATCTATTAAATTAAATGGAAAGCAAGAGGAGAAAAGTGGAAACAAACTGAAGAATATTTCACTGAAATACACAGCAGCAAGACTATATGAAAAGGGAGTTATTCTAGAAATCGATGAACTTCAGCCTAATCAGTAGGTGTTGTATAGCTGATTTATTTATTCAAATGGATTTTTCATTTTAGAATTTAAATGAGTCATTTTTCATAAGTGTTTTGGTTTTAACCCCTTAGCATTGTAATGTGAATATATTTCTATTTACAAATGATTATTTTTCTCTTCTCTTCATAGATTTAAGAATGTGATGTTTGAAATTACACCTGGTGAAGAAGTGGGTGACTTTGATATTAAAGCTAAATTCTTAGGTGTGGAGATGGAAAAAGTACACCTCCATTTTCAGGTAAATTGTATTTTTAAATCATATATGCTTCATTAGAGTCTTTTCAGGACTATTATGGGAGTAGAAAGAAGAAAATAACTTGCAACATACATTTGGGTAGCATCTGAGGACCTATTTTGAAATGGACGGTTTTACAATAGTTTATTCTTGTTAAAGGGATCTTCATTTCAAACACTAAAAAAGCAGAATTCCATCAGTTACATGCAAATCAGTTCTTGGATTTGTTGCCAGGTTTATTACTGATAAACTTTGAGATAAAACACACACTGCCACAAATTAGGAGAACTGATTAGATCAGTGCTTTTCAACCATAGCAACTTTAAGATGTGTTGATATCAACTATCAGAATTCCTACCCATCATAGGGAATTCTGACAGTTGAAGTCCACACATCTTCAGGTTGCCATAGTTGAGAAACACTGGATTAGATTACTCCGACATCACTATTGACAATTTGCATAAATCTCTATTCAGTTTTCTTACAGAGGTGCTTTCTTGTAATGCAGATTATAAAGTAGTCACAATTCAGCAGTACTTTGCCAGTATTTTGGCGTTTTTCTGGTTTTGCATTTGTCGTTAGGTTTGGGTCTCTCCTTTCCCAGTACAAGAACACTAATCTTCCCCCAAATAAAGGAGAAATAACAAGGAAGCAACAAACTACCATACTGTATATTATAGCAAAAGCAAATAGTAAATAGCAAATAGTAACTGACTCATCAAATTGCTTGCCTTCAGGATAAATTTTATATAAAAGTGCATGATAATTACTGGCTAGTATCTTAAATTCTAGAGGGTCACATTAAGTTGTCTAAATAGAATGTTTTCCTAGTGAACAGTTTTGTGCTTGTCCTAATTGTATCAATGGTATAAATGGTTTTGAGGCTTCTTGATTTTAATTTTCAAAATTGAATTTAGATCCATCTAGCATGGGGGGGTGTCAAACTCACATCATCATGGTGGCATCATGTGACATATTGGGACTTTTTCCCCCTTCACTAAACTGTGCGCAGGCTGGGAGTTTGACAGCCCTGATCTAGCATTAGGAAAAATGCTAGGGATGGCTGTTTTCATATTTTGTTTGTCTTCATGTTTAATTTATAAGCATTGCTAATTCTGATTTCAATTTGAAAATTCTTTAAATTTTTTTGCCTTGCTGCAGGACTTGCTTCAAATGCAATATGAAGGTGTTTCTGTAATGAAAATGTTTGAGAAAGCTAAAGTGAATGTAAACCTCCTGATTTTTCTGCTGAACAAGAAATTCTACGGAAAATGATCCACTACATATTGTTTCAATCAAGTCCCAGTTCTGGCTGTAGCTTAAATATTTCAATCTATTATACAACAGATCTTTCTTCAAGGCAGCCCAGAAGAAATTACTTGTGTGCCTTTTTCATCGTTTATAATGTAATAATAAAATAAGAAACTACGAATCAGCTTAAAACACTTCCTGATTTCTGTGGTGTTGGTACTCAATTTAAAAACATAAGATCAAGTGACATCCAAACACTGTATGTCTGATTTTAAAAATATGGACATTTTAACAGCATATATAGAAATCTTACCTCAGTAAAATTATATATGTGTAAATCAGTATCAAGTACAGTTTTCCTTATTATTCATAGGAAAAATAATTTCTAATATGAGTCTCTAAAGAATAGCTTTGGCAAATATTTCTTAAGTGCTATTTTTCCAGAAGCCTGTCAATTGTAAAATGAATTATTGTACAATTCAAAGTTTTATAAGTAATAATAAATTTAACATTACTGTATAAAATATATATTTTGCAATTCATTCCTATTAAAAATGCACTACTGCCTCAATAAAATCTATACACAGCCTTTTAATTTAAGTGTAAAGAAGTAATTGGAATAGTGATCTGTTTTTTGCAGTGTATTTGAGGTATTTTAAATAAATTGTGCCTGTCTTTTTTGTAAGAAAACAAAATTCACAAATAAAATGCAATAAATCGTAATCTACTTAATTTTTAATTTTCTTTCAACAAGTGTAGTTCTTTTATATCTAGTTGGGAGAACTTAGCCACTATGAAGTAATACTGCTGAACCTGCTTATGCAGGCCCAGATCAAAGAGTTTCTCACTCCATTTCCAACAATGGACTATTCCTTTTAAATTTTGCAGTGGCTTTGATGGAACATGGGTTGACTACAAAATCAAGGCAGTAACCCAGATTTTCCGTAACTGTAACTTTATTGATTTTTTAAAAAAAGATGCTAAGTTAAAAGGTAAACAGTGATAGAAAAATTAAAAAGAAAAAGGATAAAAATAATAAAAGTAAATGTGCTGAAAACAGGAAAATAAAAAAATGAGTTCCAACTTTCTTTGATTCAGATATAGATATACATATAAAGATTTACCGTGCTTTTTGGACTATAAGACGCACCGGTGTATAAGACATACCAAGATTTCAAAGAGGCAAGTAAGAAAAAAAAAGTTTTTGTCCTCCCTGGCCCCCAGGAGCACTCTGCATGCTTCAGCAGGACTGGGGTAAGGCAAAAATGCCCCTGTTTTTCACCAAAACGGGGCATTTCTCCCTTCCCCCAGCCCTGCTGAAGCCTGCAGAGTGCTTCTGGGATGTGGGGAAAGGCAACAACACCCCCGTTTTGGTGAAAAACTGTAGGTCTCAAAAATCCATCACAGCAGGTGTTCAAACTGTCTGTCTGCCTTCACAGAGTTTATTTGGCTTTTATACAGTTTCAACAAGCAAAGCAAGAGCATAGGTAGCAACAGCATCTTATTGGCTTATTCTCCTTGTCAATCTCTAAGACCATCGCAGCCAGGGTAGAATCTCACGTAACTCCCTGGTAGTGCCTCGTTCTACTAATTAGATGAGCTCATAGATAGTTGAGGTGATCGGTTACTAAGGTGTATGGCAGTTTGCTGCTCACGGCCCTTCCGTAACCTTTGTATAACCTCTACCAAAAACGGCCCATTTTTTGCCCATTTTTCACCAAAATGGGAGCATTTTCCCTTTTCCTTAGCCCTTCTGAAGCCTGCTGAGTGCTTCTGGAAGGTGGGAGAAGGGGAAAAACGGCCCATTTTCCGCCCATGTTTCACAAAAATGGAGTGCGGGGACGTGGCTTCAGGAGGCCAAAAATGGCTGTATACGATGTATAAGATTTCCACGCTCTTTTGGGGGGGGGTCTTATACTCTAAAAAATATGGTAGATATATTAGAACCTCATACTTCTCCTGCTTTATGCCTCTGCTTCAGCTCCCATCTCCCCATCATCTATGGCTTTTGGCCACTCTGAACTGCATGGCTAAGATGAAATGGTTGCTGTATTTTCCCTTCACCACCTCCCTCACTGCCACTACCTCCAGCTGACTTCATTGCTTTCCTTGTCTCATCTCCCCTCTGCTGGGCTCGTGCCTGCCTTCTCGGCCACCAGGCTCCTGGCAAGCCTACCCCCTTGCAACAGTCTCAGCTTGCTCTCAGGCATGGGTCATGCATGCATGATCACCACCAACCCTCCCCACCACCAGCATTGGTGAGCCTAACAGAAAAGACAAGGTGAAGAAAATGAAGGTGAGTTGGAGACAGCAGCAGGTTGGTAGCGGTGGAATATATCTATTTCATCTTGGCCATGCTGTGCAAGGAAACCAAAAGGTAGACATGGAGGGCGGGACAGGTGGTGGCAGGAAGCGAAATGGAGGCAATTTGCATAATGCAGGAAAATGTGTCTTAAGATTGCTGCATTGGTCATAAATTCAGGCCAATCGCCAAGTGCCTGAATTTTAATCAGGTAACTCAGGAGTGCTTTAGTGATCATAAATGTGGTGACTGGTCATTTTTTCAGTGCCATCATAACTTTAAGCAGTCATTGAACAAATGGTCTGAGGACTATCTGTATGATTATTTGGTGGTTTTATTTTGGATCCAGTAAAGGAAAGCCCCAGAGTTCAGACGCCATATGCATTAACTCCATTTCTGAGAACAATAAAGAGAGAGGATAACAAGCCTTTTATTCTGACATCATTTGTAGGTTTTCAGAGATATCAAGTTGACCACTGGGAAACCAAAGAGTTTGATTACACATGATCCTAAAATTTAAAAGCTATTTTACATTCATTATTAACGATCCATGGGAATCGGGTGGATTTCAATCAGTACAGACTGGTACAGCAGTGGTGGGTTTCAAAAATTGTTCGAACCTACTCTGTGGGTGTGGCCTCCTTTGTGGGAGTGGCTTGCCGCCTATGTGACCGGATGGGAGTGGCTTGCCGCCCATGTGACCAGATATGAAGATGCCAACAACACTTGTCAGAACCACCTTAAATTACCTCACACACAGCACTGGCAAGCATAAGAATATGATGTAAACTTGTTTTTTAAAAGGCATCTTTGGTTTGCGTTAAAACAACTTCAACACATGCAATGTTCTGATTGCACCACAAATGCAGTAGTCATCCTTACCTTTCACAGAGGCACTGAGTTTTATAAATATGAGCATGATAGTGTAGAATAATTATATCCAAGGACCAGTGGTGGGTTTCAAAATTTTTTGGAACCTCTTCTGTAGGTGTGGCCTGCTTTCCGGGTCCACTGGTGGAACCTCTTCTAACCGGTTCGGTAGATTTGACGAACCGGTTCTACCGAATAGGTGCGAACTGGTAGGAACCCACCTCTGCGGTACAGCCATACCGGATGGTGAAATTTAGCATGCCTTCCTGTACCCGTTGGCTCTTTCACTTGCCCCACCCATCCTCACCATGCTGCCGAAAAGTTCTCACATGAAGAACCAGAAGAAGAAAGAACTGGTGAGTGGCTGGGGTAGGGAGGGGGGATGTTGGGGAAGAGGGAAGAGGCAGAGGGGCTGCTAGAAGAGTATGTGCATGTACACAGGCTGTGGGTTTTAAAAAATATCTGAGTGAATCCAGAAAGAGGGAAGAGGCAGAGGGGCTAGAAGATATTATAGGAACACACGCTTCCAGCCCTTCTGCCTCTTCCCTCTTCCTGGATTCACTCAGACGTTTTGAAAACTCACAGCTTGTGCACACTCACACACTCTTCCACTCTTTTAAAAACGTCTCAGTGAATCCAGGAAGAGGGAAGAGGCAGAGGGGCTGGAAGTGTGTGCATGTAATACAGCCTGTGAGTTTTAAAGATGTGAATCCAGGAAGAGGGAAGAGGCAGAGGAGCTGGAAGTGTGTGCTTGTGCGCAGACGGTGAGTTTTAAAAACCTCTGAGTGAATCCAGAAAGAGGGAAGAGGCAGAGGAGCTGGAAGGTGTGTGTAAGGTGGTCAGTAATGTTGAAGACCGGCAAGGACAGCCATATTTCCTCTGTAAGTAGCTGTTTTATTGTTTTTTGTACTTATTTTAATCTTATTTAAGCAGTAAGTGCACAAAATAATAAATTTCCTTTTTTTATATCTTCTTTTTGTAGGTCATTCTTTGGGGCAAAGAATTAAGTGACATCAACTTGGCCACTCCCACCCAGTCACATGACTGCCAAGCTACTCCCACCTGGTCACATGATCACCAAGCCACTCCCACAAAACAGGCTACACCTACAGAATAGGTTCTAAAAAAATTTGAAACCCACCACTGATCGGAATGTTGGCAAATCTACAGCAAATCGGTTGAAATATTGCTGAAATTTAGGAATGAAAGAGCCAGTTACATTTTAATTACACACACTTATATTTATTATTTTATTTACTTATATTTGTTTAGCTGTCCATCTCCCATGAAAGTGACTGGGTGGTGTAGAACACTAAATTAAAAAAGAATAAATGCTTTAAGAAGAAGTACAATTTTAAAAATTATATATAAGCACACAAACAGGAGAGATGATATTAACCACAATAAGGGAACCATTGCAAAATCTCCCTGGGACCCAGTAGTGGGTTTCAAAAATTTTTAGAACCTCTTCTGTAGGTGTGGCCTGCTTTGTGGGAGTGGCTTGCCGGTCTGTGTCCAGGTGGGAGTGGCTTGCCAGCCATGTGACTGAGTGGGAGTAGCTTGGCAGTCATGTGACTGGATGGGCGTGGGCAACTTGTAAAATGTGAAACTCACTTAACAATGCTCTTGCTTAGCAACCAAAATGTTGGCTCAGAAACTCTGGCATTTGAAGCACATAAGTCTTAAAGCTGTCAAGTTACAAGACCCTTGCACCACTGTTCCCTCTAAGGTGCGCGGCTGCGCACGTGGCAAGAAAACACCGTGCAGCAGTTTTTAACTGCACGCAGTGATTTCTGCCACAGGTTCCGGAAGATGAGGAGAATAGCTGCTGCCGCCGCCTCCTCCTCCTCCAACAGCAGTGCCAGATTTGCCGCCAACGCTGCAGCTGAGGTGAAGCCTCCAAAGCTCCCGCAGGCACCCCCGCCCATGGCAGCCAGTTCTTGACTTAGCCTCCATGCAGAGCACCTGAGCTGGCCCCCACGTTATCCCTCTCCCTTCCTCCTCCGCCA